CTGGGCCTCGGTTTTTATCAGGTCTCATCCGAAGGACCCACAACTTTCACTTCAAAGTGCTGAGCGCATGGCGAAGGAACAGTTGCTATCTATTTTTTATCGACTTAGGTCAGTCGTGGGTGAGATTCGTGATCGAACTCACGACCTTCCGATCAAGAAGAGAGCGCTCTACTGACTGAGCTACCGTGAATGGTGGAGGTGAAATTTCATCAAATTTGATAATAAAAATATTTCATTTTTCCCTAGCCTTCAATTATATTTTCGAAAGTGCAAAAACACCTTTGAAAATCTTTTTCTTTACTCCTGGATATCTGGCTGTTAAACATTTACATGAATACAATAAGCACTTAGCCCTCTACCAGATTTGAGAAATTCATGGCCCCCTGGTCCATGGTTTAGGCTCCAGGCTGGGGCTACAGTTTGTCATATATTGAAACATAAAATCATTTTCTTTACTCATGAGCACATATGTATGATTACTTAACCATTTACCAGAACAGTAAAACTGAGGCTTCCTTGATCAAGTGTCTAGGCCCCAGGATGGGACTAAGTTGGTCTGTAATTTGGTCATATGCTTTAATTGTTGAAATGCGTCATTATATTTTGAAGATCTTACTTGAGGATTTTAGGAGGCAAACTGCATAGTGTGAGTGTTGTATGAAGGAGGGAAATTGTTACAAGAAAAGGTATCTCCTATTATGTTTAATATTTATTTGCTTGCTTTCAGCAGTTTTCTTCAAACAGAATGAAGTTATTATGATAGCAAGGCTAAATCTGTGACATTTGACCAAGATTTACGGACCTTGTTGCTTAAGTCCTCGGAGGTTTCTCACTGAGTTGAATCTGAATGATATGCATTATGTCTGCAAGTTGGAATATAGAGTAAGGGACAATTTAAGGAGAAAAAAAATTCTGTCTACAGTTAGAAGACTTTAAATCATCAGAAAAAAGTTTGAGATGTTTCAGGATTTGAGATACTAAGGTTAAAATACATAAAGAAAATATGATTCAGGGACTTCCAACTTACTTCAGCATATCCATGGTTCATGTATTTGAAATATCGATCTATGTTTGAAATACCAAAGTTAAATTAAACTGTATGTTAACTTTGAAAAGAGACCTAATGACTTTCAGTCCCAACTTTATATCATGTTATATCACCACTCACAAAATGCTCCTGACTCAGTATCAATACCAATCTTCTTGTCACTCAGGTAATTCAATTTGATTGACAGCTATCAGTGCTACCTGAAAATCATTACTTGTCTACAGCAAAGTCTTTCTGTACTGTGAAATGTTGCCCCCCAAATAAATACAAGTATATTCTTATTTGTGTTAATGACAAAAAAATTCTTAGTGCTAGCTAAATTGTTTTATTGTGTTATTTTTTTCTTATGCTATGCTTTTTCTTATGCCTCAAAAAATGTTTAATTCATTATAATTGTATCTTGCAAAAAATTTATCTATATTAGTAATCTTCAAATTGAGCAGGGGAATTATGAGCAACAAATCTGAAATCACAATAAATTACTGAGACTAATTCTTTTCAATGTAGCCTGATCGGAGACAGAAACTGTATTTAATATCAGATTAAAAATCATATCAACAATTTCTGGATTTAAGCTACTGATGTTATGTGTTATTAAATGTGACTATAGTAGCATTTTTTTAAAAACTTTCTGTGAGTGTACTTAAATATTAAAAGATTATATGGAAACCATAAGTTTAATTGTTACAAAATTTTTACTGCTAGTATGCAATGCTTGTGAGCGTGTTGACAATATTTATAGGGATTTATGACCTGTTGAACTTTTGATCTTCCAGGTAACATTAATGTATTAACGAGACCACTCCCACCCGTTCGGTAACATGCTGTTATATGGTATAAACAGTTGGATCTTTATGCAATATTATAAAACAAATATAGACTCACTAGAAGTTGAGGATGAAGTCCATTGTGATTTTATAATAAAGATGGATGATTTTGCAGTTTTGTTATATTGCATTAGTAGGGCTTACATAAAACTGTAATTTGTATCACATTGGATCATGGTATACATGAAATGTACAGGCAGGAGTTCACACCTTGCAGTATATGACTTTATCACCTAAAGTTCCATTCTTGTCACAAAATGTAATTCATAGGCATCATGTAGTTTTATTTTAATTTTCGCTACTAAACTGTGGCTTTTGGCATGAAATGAAAATGATTGTCATTAAGTTAATAGATAAATTTTGAAGCTACAGTGAAAACTGTCTAATCCGACACCTGTGTAGTCCATCACACTGTGAATTCCGATGTTAAATTTCATTCCCATTCTACCATTTTTGATGTCCTTTACACTCTGCAGTATGACACCCTGTCTATTGTGACTTTTTTTGTGAAAATTTGACTCTCGGTGCATGTTGCATTAGACAAGTTTCACTGTATCTCTGACTTATTCTTAATTTTTTCATACACGAACCAGTTTGGGGGATTTTACTGGAATCACCATGTCCAACTGTCTGTAGATATTTTTCGTCTGGAAATGATCTCTGAAACTACTTTTAAATATTTATTTTTCAAGCTTTGTATAATTAATATATACCATTTCATTTGTGAAAATTTAAAAATAAGAGGATTGAAATTATTGTCTGGGCATAGCAATGTGACAGGGGAACTTCAGAGACTCATACCTAATGTAAAGGTAGCTTGTGTTGAGAAATGTGGATAGACCCAGTACCAAGGTCATTTTGGACAAGGTCAAGGTCAATGGGTACAAAAGTATTAAAAATTGTTCTTGCCACAACTTTGAAATGGAAAAACATTAGAAGATTATAATACAACTAATGAAAAGTTCTTTGTGACTCAAGGGTATGTCCTGACCCATAACCGAGGTCAAGGTCCGAAGTTATAGAAATATGAATTTTTTGCCATTTTAAAATATTAAAAAACAAAAACTTGTTTGGAGGAGTATCAGGAAATTGTTTCCATGAGATTCAGGCATGATAAATTGCAGCATAATTTTTCAAGAAGATGGTAGAGTTCTTTTTAAAGCTATTTTAAGGTGATCCCTTTTTGGGGGTTGGCTCATGGGGGATTTGGTTAGGTTTCTACAGCAATTTTAATTCGAAATTTGTGTCTACAGTCCACAGATGTCTTATACATCAATAACCTTTTTTTTTTTTCAAATCCGAGATTAAATAATACCCTGTTCTAAGAAATAATGAAAATTGGGTAGGGTCATTTGAAAATCTTCTTGACAAAGAACCTTTGGGCCTGAAAAGATTAAGACAATGTAAAAGCTTCATGACAAAGTGTAGATTTAAGTTGAAGAACAGAAGGCCCATTAGTGAAGCAGGTGAGTGTTGTGGCCCATGTGTCTCTTTTTTGTTGTTGTTTTTTATTTTGGGGGAAATGGGATGGGGGGCTCACTTGCAATTTTGAGAAGTCCATTTTGATAAGTCATACTGCATTTTTTATATTCTACAGATATCTTTATGATTTACAAAAAGAATAGCTGTTGTACAAGAAAATGAAAGTTTTCTGTGTAATGTTTTATAGATCATTTCAAAGCATAATGTACTCACAATTGTTTTCAATTAAATCTTTTAAATCATTATTCTTGTATGACCATTATGTCACAATATTTTTGGAAAACCTTTGCCATGCAGATACATGTGCATATGCATATGACTTTATGAGCCATATGGCACCCTGGTAATTTAAATTTATGCTTTGATTTCAAAGTACTAATTGGTATAATTTATAGTGGTATAATAAGCATATATAAGGTATAATTAGTGTATGACCTGCCTAGACAAAAACCATTGTAATCTGAAGTGTCACTTGGATTATTGTCTTCTTACAAAAACAGTGTTGACTGATGCTTGACCAATCAAAGTGGACAATAGAAATGTGTGAATTGAAGTCCAACCAATCAAAGAGATCAACACCTGTCACTTTGATCCTTTGAATTTTGAGTTCCTGAGGTGTTTTACTCGGTGTCACAATCTCCTAATCTTTGATTCCTTGATGGTACAGGACATAATGTAAAACAATAATGAAATTTGTGGTAGACTGTTGTAGATCAAAACAGATAACAGTTAATGGTCAAATGCTTAACAATTATTAATTTAAACTGTGGTGCTCAGATATATAACCAACAAAAAATATATTTGGACACTGTGTAATACTTGCATTGGTGATAATGCCTCCAATTTACATTGCTCATGAAGCTTCCTCAAGATTTGATCTCAACGACAAGGTATGAATTGAAAGTTAATCATGCACCTCACAGGTGCCTATGTTTTATTTTTCTTTTAGTTATGGGTAGTTTACAAGGCAAAAGTTGATAAAATGATTAAACTTGCATGACTATGTACTGGTACAAGAATCTGTCAATAATATAAAAAAGAAAAAGAATTATTATTATGGGCAAAATTGCTTTTATTGAATAACAACTTAATCCAATAGCTTTAAAATGTGTGACCTTTGATGATATTGAAGTTTTGGTCATAAAGAAAATATATCAATGTGGATTTGGACATCTAAAATATAAATCCCTGTATTTATACACAGCTGTTTGTTGGAGAAACGGTTCTTAACATCTTCAAAGTAAACTTTTATGCAAGTGAATGGTTAGTTTTGGACCTTGTGTGGATTGTGTCCAATTTTTTTTAGTCATAGTCACAGTGAGGTAGATAGATCACTTTTGTCATAGGTATAAACTGTTCATGTGGTGAAAATTTTGATTGATAATAGACAGTCACCGGTCAGAAATGTAAATTGTGAGTGTCTCGTGTAGCTGGCTATAGCAATGACTTATAATTATTATATTAATCGCCCAATGAGAACTTTTTCAAAAGAAAATTAATAACTCCTAATTTTCAGGTGAATGTCGAAATTTTATACCCTGTAGAAAAGGTCAAATATTTGAAGAGTGTATTTGACTGACATATGCACAAAGATAATTTTAAAATGTTTCTTTTATAAAATGTTTTCTTGACGTGTTTTTCAGGCAATATTTCAAGGACAAATATCTGGCAAAAGACTCCAAGGAGTGAAAAGTAATCCTATATATCATGAAAAACAAAAAAGCGCTGAAACAGCTGAAGTGTCAGAAAATGATTTTAACATCACTGTATACAACAGTTTTCCTTTAAAAAGGCAGAGAAATGTAGATTTTGGAGACCCACCTTTCTTACCTTCTGGAGAAGAAAACCCAAACTTCACCGGCTCTGTTGTCAGGGTAACAGTTTCAGGCCAGGAGAAAGATATGCAACGAGAAAGTTTGAAAGTGACAAATGGCGAAGTTGTCGTTGGTGATATAATTTTAGAAACAGATTATAGGAACACTTCTCTAAATGAGGAAGATGTTATATTGGAATTGGAGAAAATGGCAAAGGAAGAGAACTTGCACAGCGATTCTGTCGCCAGTGATAATAACAATGTCTTGAGCTTGGACCAGAAAAAGCAAGCAGCATTGTTAAAGCAGGAACTGGATGAAATAAAGCAAGAAAGTGTCAAGGGTGTGATTGAATCTGAGAGAAATGGAAAACACTTATGGGGAAAAAATAAGACTTTAACCAATGGGAATGCAACAGTATTGAATGGAAGTTTAAAGACAGGAGAGAGAAACTCTGATTGGCCAAATATTGATGATTTGGTTGTATCCAAAGAAACAGAATTCTGTGAAACAGTGCAATGTAAAAGTGAGCATCTTAGCGAGTCTGTTCCCCTTGGGAAAGAGAATGGAACTTTACCTCAGGAAAAACGGAGTAGTGTTTTAACCAATGGGAAAACAGACTCAAATGGACTCCACAATGGGAAAATTCCAAATGGAAACTTAAAACATGATGAAGTTGGCCATCTGGATGAACAGAATGAATCCAAAAAATCAAAGAAATCCAAGAAAAACTCAAGCAAGAAAAAAGTTAAAGAAAGGAAGAATTCTCTGCCAGACCATATCTTGAACTCTCTTGCTATGAAACCTAAAAAGCCTATCTTAATTCCTACATGTTCTGATGCAAGTTCAAGTGCATACTCTGATGCAAATCACTTAAACTCTTCTATTACAGAGCAGAAAAGTGTCAAATTTTCTGATGACACAGTGTTCAATGAAAACAAGCCAAATAAATATCGCAAAGAGAAAAAGAATGGGACAGCCAATTCTAATCCAGTGTTTGTGGATGATAATGGATTTGAAATCAGTTTGACAGATGATGAAAAAGTCCTGCATTTTTCTAACAGTAGTGACACCAATAGTCAGGTAAGGAATTTTTCTTTGGATAAGGTAAAAAAAGCATTGTGACCCTTATAAAATGTTATTTGCTCCTGGACCCCTTGTCAGAGATTTCTTCAAAAATCCATTCAAAAGCAAAAAAAAAAAAAAAAAAAAAAAAAAAAAAAAAAAAAAAGTTCAGAAATCACAGATTTATGATCCTTGATTATTTCTTTGTACAATATTATAATTACTCTGTCTCTTTCTTTGTTTTTATTTGATTCTTTATAAAAAAAAAATTGGATTACCATGGTAACTTTGTGTTTTAGCTGAGTGAGCTGAATATCCCAGGTTACATGAAGGAGTATGTGATAGGGTCAGGTGATCTTCCACCTGTCTCAACACGGACATCATTATCTCGAGCCAAACTAGTGAGTTCATTTATTTAGTATCAGCTTTATAGTATAAGTCAATGATTCATAATAATCAGTGACCTTGAACTTGCCAAAATGACCTTGGGCCAAGGTCATGACACTCGCTTGGGACATAAGCATTCTATGAGGTTCTAATGCTTCTCTGTTGCAAGTTTTCATCAGGAGAGAAATTATACTTTTTTTTCTAAGTGTAGACAATATCCATTACTGGTAAATGAAAGCTGAATTATCATATCATAAACCTGATCTGATATATGAACAATTCTAATAGTTTGAATCATCCATCAGCTTTTATTAAGAATGTACATATATGTGAAGTGTATTTAACTTGATGCTTTTAACACATTTTGTCTCCTCATATGCAGCTCACAGTTGTTAGATTTGAACTTTGGCTTTTTTTGTCCAGATCTTCTCATACATCTAGTAACATTGTACATGACAGTCAACCATATTACTTGTTAGAGACTTAGAGTTCTCTTTTGTGTACTGAATCAGATTCATTTCTTGGGTTGTCAGGTTGTAAACTGAAGAAAAAACAATGTGCATTAGAGACCAGCCAGAAGCTGTATATGCTTCTGTTATGCCTCCTAGAAAAAAAATCTGCCATAATTATTCCATGTTTAAAATTATCAAAAGGACAACCAGAAATTGCTGCAATAATTTCTAGCAGAAATATACTGTTATTTGTGAATAACCAGAATTCACATTCAGATACTAAGTACTAAATGCTGCCTCCTTCTGTTAGCAGGGAATAGAGGACATTGAAAACATCACAACTGATGCCACCTACAAAGATATGGATCGTGAGTTGGCCAAGAAACATCGCAACAAAGTAATTCGCCTGGTGCTTGCTTGTTTTGTTTTTCTAGCTGTCATTGGTGTGGTTGTCCTACTGGTGGTGTACTTTGGTAAACCACAATCCAAAAGTTGACACAAAACTCCAACTTGTTACTTGTTATCTTGTTACTGTAATTGTCAAAAAACCGGATTTCATGGGGTATTATATGATGTATATAAAACTGTTATGTATTACATGTACATGTCTCTTTTTGTATTTATATATGTGGTTCATATCTGTTTTCATAGTTTAAACAGACTTAGAAATGCATGTTTGCATTTTTTAAAGCTGTGAACCATGCAATCAGGTGGATCAGGACTTATGATATTATATTATTTGTGCATCATCTGGTGTGTAGCAATCCATTTTTTATTTAAGTGGTAAATTTTGAAGTAAATAAAATATCTCTTTGGTAGTATCATCAACTATTGTCAAAGTTTGCAAATTTAATTCCTGTAAATAAATTGGAAAAAATAGTGATTGTTTCATCTCAAGCAAAGTTCAAAAAGCAGATACATGTATATACACCGGTAAGAGAGAGATCATCCATAAGAATGATATACTTAAAATATATTCTTGAGAAATTGCTGCCTTTGAGGGAGTGTTTATTTCCTTGCATATATGGAACAAAAACAACCCTAAATATCTTGAGGAAAACTGGTAAGAAAAATCACATTTTTATGCCCTGCCATGAATATGACCAGTGCATGTACTGTTTGAGATGTCCGTCTTCTGTCCTTCCATCACGTTGCGTTTACCTCAGTTTTAAAGAAACTGTTCATTGATGTTTTAAGCAAAATTCATACACAGTGGCATAATTTTCTGACCTTGACCTTCCCAGTGACCTTGACCTCACTAATACCCTATTTTATGTTTACTTTCAAAGTAACTTTTCAATATGGTTTTATCAAAATTCTTACACTGATACATATTAGAAAGAGCTATTCAAATGTTGCAAAATTTTCTGCCTTTAACCTTCCCTTTGACCCTTGACCAAACTATTTGTCATTTTGCATATTTGTTTGAAATATTCAAATTGTTGTTCAAGATGTTTCATCAAACTTCATACAAAGCTACAAATAAATAAAAGCTATTCAACTGTGTCATAATTTTCTGACCTCGACTATGACCTTGACCTCACTATTCCTTATTTTGCTTTATCTTAGTTTCAAAGAAACTGTACAAGATGTTTTCATCAGACTTTGTATACTGTTTGTATAAGCTTGTCGAATTTTTTTTATCTTGACCTTTCTTCTGACCTTGACCTCACAATTCCTTATTTTGCATTTATTTAAGTTTCAAAGAAACTGCACAAGATATTTTCATCAAACTTTGTATATTGTTTACATAAGTTTGTCAAAATTTTTTTACCTAGACCTTTCCTACAACCTTGAATTTTACATTTTGTTCCTATTTTGCTCTCAGTTCATCTTATTTTATTCCATAAAGGAGTACTTCAAAACCACCATACATTGAAAAATCTCTGTAAGAGCATTTTAACTATACATAATCTTAAGAGATCATATATAAATTTATGGTAATAACCTTGAAACAATGAGGATTTATTAAGCTGTAAGATTATAGATGGGATGAATCAATCTCAGACCAAAAAAGGAAGGTACATTTCTCTTTTACTGTTGCAATACAAATGTACCTTGGGCAGGGCATTCATGTCCTATAAACATTTTTCTAGTTTATTTATTTTAAGGGCATCAATATGTTATAGTCTCCCACTTGCAAAATATTTTAAAAGACATCATTTTGAATCTTGATACATATTATCTGGTATTTTATGCACACACTTCTATTTCTTTTAATTCTTTTTTGTTGATGTATAAAGAATTTCTGTGATAATCAAGTCTTTCAGATTAAGAAGGTACATATCAAGCAGATTGCACTGTTTGGTAAGATATTTATACTGCAAATTAAATGTAAATGGAACTATCCCTACAATTAAGAAAAAAAAATTAAACCCATTTTGAATTTTCCTGACTTTTTAAAAAGAAATAATTGTGGAAGCAAAAGGAAACCTATAAATTTGTGTCTCTCAGTGATCTCTGGAGACCAGTATGCATCATTATTTAGCAAAACGAGAGTAAATTGTGTACTTATTTGGCTAAATTGCTTCTAAGAACAAAATCGGTTAAGGAATTCATTTGCAGTATGAAACTTATTCTGTGTCTTTTTCCTAATTAATGTATAATTCAGTGCTGGTGTTTTAGATGATTGATGTAAGGCATTTAACCACTTTACACAGGATGCAATATTTGTAAAAAGTTTTATTCTTAATGATACTGTTTTGTTGTGTAATCTTAGGCCTTAACAGAAACCCAGGATTACCAGCTTTTAAAAATGGTCACAAGATACTAATGATTGAGATGCTTATGAACAAATACTGAACTTTTCTTTCATTGGAAAAATCAACAAAAGAGATTATGGGTTTGTAAAAGATTAAATGGTGTAATGCAGTATATTTGTTCATGCATTGGTAAAATGTCATTAATCCGTCTGCAGCTGTCTGAAATCAAAGTTATCAAACTAAAGCCAGCATAAGACATATCTATTTTTTGTAGCCATGGCAACTCTAAAACTGATATATATACAAATTATGAGCCACAATATACATGTAGTTTACTTGTATACCAAGTTTTATTGAAAATGGACAAAAACTGAAGGAGTAGCATTTTAAAAAATATTGTTTACTGACAAACAATAAAACTTTGTGCAAGTTAAGAAATAATCCTGTAAATGCAAGAGTAACAAACAGGTTACAAGTACAGGTGCAATGTTTCTCTTCCACTGTCATACAAAGAACAATAGGTAGAGCTACAGTCTCGTCAGATACTTAAGGTCATGTAAACTGTCTATATCAGATCAAGATGAGACCAATGAGCAAACATCAATCACTTGTATCTTACTGTTTTCATTTTACACCATAGTGTCTTCATTTAACAAAAAAACTGTTGCACTTCAATGAAAAAGATTATTGATATACAAAAGTAAATTTTCATGCATGAATGATATTACTCTGAATTGCAACCCATATTAATTTACTGCTATTTTTTTATACAGGAAATTTTGAATTCAGTGAGTTTAATGTACATGTAATATATATGTAACATATCTACCAGTAGATAGAATCTTGTTTCACTAAGCCATATGTGTCTTTTTGGATAACAATGTGGAGTTACGTGTGCCCTACACATCGGATTCAAAATATTGTGCAAATGTGTTAATGATGTCATGCATTATAGTGAGTGTTACTGTAAGATTTTTTAAAATATTCTGCCTCATAAATAGGTGCTAATGCAATTATTTTGTTGACTTTGTACAAACTGCATAATGTTCAGGTTTTTATGTCACGTTTTAGAAAAATGTCATTAAACAAGGTTTTCTGTCAATTTGAAACACCTTTGAGATGTGTATAATTGTCTGTATCTTTATTATGTATACAATTTTATTTGACGTGTAAATCCAAAAGAAGTTTCATTTATAAATTATATATACATGTTCTTTTTTAACCTGTTCAATGTTAAATAAATTTAATGAAAAATCATGATTTTTTAATCAACCCCCTGAAACTTGCCTTACTATCATTTGAACTCTCTAATACAATTCTAATATGGCTATTGTTACAAGGTCCATGAGATAAGATACAAAGCACTCCATTCTCTCCATACTCAAAAAAGCAAACTCATACAAGTGAGACTATTAACTCATACTCAGGCTCATCAATTATTAACAGTCACCTGAGTATAATACAATACTGTAAAGGAACCATAGATTGAAGTATGAAATAAAACAACCAGGAGTTTCTGATGAGAGTGTAGCACTACTGAGTCTCTTGACTATTGAATAAGACTTGGTACATAATAGGCTATACTAAGATATTCCAAGCACACCAGTAGAGCTACCATCTCATCAGCAACAACATCTGTTGAAATCAAAAACCAATAAAGAGAATTATGTATCTTAGTATAGTATACTTATGTGCCAAGTCTTATTGAAATCAAACCAAAACTATAGGACGTGTAGCTTTTAAAAGAATTTCACAGAAATTTCTAATGTAGTAACCATGGCAACAACATTTGACTAAATCAAAAACCAAAATACAATAATCAAATACCCTCTACTTGCCAGTGCTAATGCACTCCCATTTGTCACTATCACCATAGAGACTTCAACAAAACAATATTAAAATTGGATTCCCTATTGTGGCCCCGCCCTACCCCAGGGGTCATGATTTGAACAATTAGAATCTACACTACCGCAGAATGCTTCCACATAAGTTTCAGTTTTTCTGGCCCAGTGGTTCTTGAGAAGAAGATTTTTAAAGATTTTTACTTCATATTTCAATGTAAAACTTGGATTCCCTATTGTGGCCCCTCTCTACCCCAGAGGTCATGATTTGATCAATTTAGAATCTACACTACCCAAGAATGCTTCCGCATAAGTTTCAGCTTTTCTGGCCCAGTGGTTCTTGAGAAGAAGATTTTTTAATGACCCCATCTAATTTTTGTCTTTTCTGGATTATCTCCCCTTGGAAGGGGGCTTGGCCCTTCATTTTAATAATTTAAACTCCCCTTCACCTAAGGATGCTTTGTACCAAGTTTGGTTAAAATTGGCCCAGTGGTTCTTGAGAAGAAGTTGAAAATGTGAAAAGTTTACAGACAGACGGACAGACAACAGGTGATCAGAAAAGCTCATTGAGCTTTCAGCTCAGGTGAGCTAAAAAGGAGACAAAAAATTCCTTAAAGATAAAAAGACTTTTAAAGAATTTCTGCATTTTCACTGTATGATCAATAGATCAATAGAGCCCCTGCTCAGACCCAGGGGCCATGAATTTCAAAAATTTGGAATCATGCACTTAGTTTGTTTGCTCAATACCCAAGGACATGGAATTTCAAGAATGAATTACAAACAAGAGGCCCATGAGCCACATCGCTCACCCGAGTAACATAAACCATGCTGTTCTTTACCAGATTTCCCCCTTGTAATTCCTATTGTGGCCCCGACCTACCCCTGGGGGTCATGATTTGAACAATTTAGAATCTACCCTACCCCAGGATGCTTCCACATAACTTTCAGCTTTTCTGGTCCAGTGATTCTTGAGAAGAAGATTTTTAAAGATTTTTCATACATATTTCAATGTAAAACTTGGGTTCCCTATTGTGGCTCCGCCCTACCCCCGGGGGTCCTGATTTGAACAATTTAGAATTTGCACTACCCGAGGATGCTTCCACATAAGTTTCAGCTTTTCTGGCCCAGTGGTTCTTGAGAAGAAGATTTTTAAAGATTTTTCTTATATATTTCAATGTAAAACTTGGATTCATTATTGTGGCCCTGCCCTACCCCCAGGGGTCTTGATTTGAACAATTTAGAATCTACACTACCCCAGGATTTTTTTAATGACCCCACTTTTGTCTTTTCTTGATTATCTCCCCTTGTAAGGGGACATGGCCCTTTATTTTAATTATTTAAACTCCCCTTCACCCAAAAATACTTTGTACAAAGTTTGGTTAAAATTGGCCCAGTGGTTCTTGAGAAAAAGTTGAAAATATGAAAAGTTTACAGATGGACGGACGGACAGCTAGACATACGGAAGGACAGACGGACGGACAACGGGTGATCAGAAAAGCTCAATTGAGCTTTCAGCTCAGGTGAGCTAAAAATATTTCCTGGAGATTTTAAAAAAAGGTTTTGAGTAGGACCATTTTTAGTCAGCAAGATAAAAACAGATCATTTTCTTCTTTAAATAAAAAACCCTCCACCACAAAATATCATTCCTCAATTAATGCTTTTTGTATTTAATTTACTCAGGGAATTTATTTAATGAATATAGTTTGATTGGCACTGTGTAATCGAAATTTATTGTGTTAGAAATAGATGTTCAGAAAAAAATCTGCTCAAACACTCAGGTTTAAATCTCCACAAGATACATAGTTATGCAGTTTTATTGTGAACATTGTGGCAATGTTTACTTTAAGGATAAGTTAGATTTTTTTTCAAAACACTTCTCTATTATTTGGCCTGAATTTAATAAATCTTGGTTCATAAGCTAACTAATCCATGGATCACAATTCTTATTTATTGGTCAGGCCTGTAGAATGTGCCCCCCTTTTTTTCCGAGTATTTTGCTATAGTTAATTTTCCTCTAGATGTTGGTTCCCCCCTCTTTTTGATGCTGTAAAGTCCAGCACTTGCAAATTCCAGGATTTGGACAGTTAAGGACATACGCAACGTACGTTACCTACTGATAATTTCTTAAGATGTTCTTAATTTAAGATTATAGTGCCATCAGATGTTTGTAGACAAAATATCAGCATGCATTACCAGGGGTTTTGAAAAGATATCAACTAATGAAAATTCTTGTATAATTCAAAGAAAAATATACAAAAAATACTAAACATATATTCTAGATGCTTTATTTATCCAAACTTGTTCTAAAAGAAGTGTACAGCAGCATATATAGACATTAAAATGTAGCACACAGTTCCTTTAAGTATTGGAACTCTTCAACTCCAGGGAAAAAGACAATAAAGTTCAAACTACATTGCGTATGTCCTTAATAAGTTTTTTTCTCCCCCCCCCCCCCCTTCAGACATTTTAGGTTTTTTTTTGGCTTGTCAGATTTTTTTTTTCGGGGTGGGGTGGGGGGTGGTGTTGCCCCCATTTTGAAACCATTGCTACAGCCTGTTGGTGTTGCCATAGCTTCTAGAGCAGGGACCTGTTTTACAAAAGAACTTATGACCAAGATCAAAAACTTAAGGTGATTGTAAAATCTTGCACAAATAATGATTTTATTACAAAGTGGCTGCATAAATATATCTTTCAAATTTCCTTCTTAAAATGATTATAACCATTTTTGTATGAACATAAAAGAGAAAATTACTTGCAAAATTACATTTTAGTCTTAGTTGGCAAGTTCTTTTGTAAAGTGGGGCCACAAGTCTGCTTTTCTCTTTATTACAAGTACAAACCAATACATTAAAACTCGTTTAGTACGAACACGGATATAGCGAATTCACAGATATAGCAAAGTTTTCTTGGATCCCCAGCTTTATAAATTTTACGAATTCCTTATAATGAATTAGGACTTTGTTATAACCGAGTTTTACTGTACAGCTAGTCTCATAACCAGTGCAGCAAGTCTCATGAGAGACTTCTGATTTATTTCCTCTGTAAATATTGATAAATAATCAAACGTTGTAATCTTTCCTGTTTATTTTAGAATTATGTTCATACATATTTAAAATTAAATAGACATTTCACCCAAAATAAATTGTGTAAATATATATATATTCATTATTGCATTACATAAATAATTTACAAACATATAAATGTATATTTGCTGGGAATGATCATCAAATTTTGATCAATACTTGACAAAGAATGTTAAAATTCCAAAAAGGAAGATTGAAAAATAAAAGAAATTGTTTAAAATTCAAGCAAAATAGCTGAACAAATGTGGAAAAAATAAATCTCAGAAAAATGTTGTTCAGTTGCTCACAAGCTTGGCCAGAAAATAAAGGATATCAAAGAAAGGTGGCAAATACACACAAACATGGAATGTCTAAAGACTTATTCACATATCACAGCATGATCAATCTTATCTTAACATTGCATCCATGGTTTTGATTCCATCTGCAAATAGTCAAACCAATTATATAGAACGTTTTTATTCCTTCTATTGGTGCCTTATTCATATGAATGCCTTTTCAACCACTTACAACCTCAATAAGAGAGATCTAAAGTAAATTAGCCCCCTCCCTTCTTACCTGGACAATATTAGCATCCAGTGAAAGTACTCTGTTGTATTAATGGTATCAGTAAGTTTGTGGGAACAAGATAATGATTTTAAATTTGTACCACTGCCAATTATAATGAAGACCATATTACACTGTTCCCAAAATGACTCCCCTATTCTCAAACGATATCTCATTCCTTAAAAGCTTCATTAGATTGTGCATGAAATTTATAATGTATATGTGGACTTCATATTTTCTGTGATAAATGATACAGTGACAGCCATTAAAGCATTAGCCAATCAGAATTCATATGTGCATACATCTGTTTTATTCAATCATTTCATTTTGTATATACTAATACTGCTATATGCAAATGCTTTTATCTTTATATACAGTTTCAAAACATTTCATCAAATTAAATGAAAGTTAAGCTATTTAATTTAAATCAGTCATTTCACTCACTGTATGTGCACACATACAGTATGCATGCACATGTGTGCAAAATGATACTAGCCAAGTAAGGTCTTCATCTTTTGCTGCTTCTTAGGAAATAGCTGGATAAAATGGGTACCCTAAAATGTGGACCCTAAACTTACATGTAGCACCAAATGTCTTTTGGAAAAAAAATTGAAACACTTTTCAAGAACACTTTATACTCTGTCAAATTCCCCGTATAAAATTTGTGAGAAATAAAAAAAAAAACACAAAAAAACAAAACAAAACAGAGTAAAAACAGTATTTCTCAAATTTTGTTTGTGGAAAATAACTGTAGTGTAATTCATTTATCATATTAACCCCCCCCCCCCCCCCCCAAAAAAAAAAAAAACCCACAAAACTGTTTAATCATGACATGATAATTACAACCCCAACATCCAGTTAATGCCTCACCTACATACTGATTTAACTAGTTTTAAAATACTGAGCTTTCAAAAATGGTTAAAGAGTCAAAGGTATTTTTATTATCTTTAGGATATTGTGTAAATCTTTTCTTCTTCAAAATATAAAATTCTCTTCTTAAGAATTCTTTCATCAGTATAATTATTCAAAAGGAAATCCCTCATCAATATTTTTTTAACTTCAGCAACAATACAAAAGAAACATTAAATTCATTACAAATTTAAGGACAGATGCTGACCATGAATAAGTAAAGTACATAATAATCTGCATTAGTAACAAGAGGCCCAAGGTCCTTAACGGTCACCTGAGTATAATACAACAATTTAGAAGTTAAATACACTGATAGATGAAGCTTTGTTGCCCTAAAGCAAGAGAAGTAGGAAGATCAGGATCAACAAACTAATTAGTCTAGTATTCAGTATCAACTCATAAATTAAGTTCTAATCTGTCCCCCACTTAACATTATCACCATGCAGACTATTAACAAACTATTAGTGCTTCTGTACTATTTTTAAACCCATATTAAGACCTCTAGCATTGACCTCTCTTATGGTCTTTGAAGAACTTTTAATAAGATAAGTTATTTTTGTCTCATTTTTATTTATCTATTACTTACAGGTCTGCCTGATTATTAAAACTAAGAAAGTACTTTTTGAATTATATGATAAACATTCTTGCATAATTATCTTATTCTATTAATCTTTCAAATACATTATTTACAGTGATTAATTATCAAAGGTGAATGGAAAAGGGGAATAACTTCTCTCAGTAGAATACAAATTAATAGAGCCCTGTCCAGGACCAGAATGCTTAGACAAATTGTCCAGATGTTCAAAAATCTGGTAGAAATACGCTTACTTATATCATTTAAACTTTTACTCAGTTTGCTTCCAATATGCCCAGAAGCAGAGAAGAATTTCACAGGTACAATGCATTTTCACTACAGATTCAACAAAGCCTTACCCTAACACCAGAACCCAAGACCAAAGGTCAAGAAAATTACAAATTTGGAAGAGTTACCCTCATCATCATAACTATGGACTTCAAAGAATTAACACTTTTCCACTATATTATCAAAAGCCCCCCCCCCCCCCCCCCTTCCTCGCTATGCCAGAACCCCTGACCCTAGGACCACAAGATTTAAAAATTCTGTTCGAAGCTCCCATCTTCATCATAGCTAAGCAATTTATTTATCAGCTCAACACTAAGGAGCAGACAGGATTAGTTAATGATTAATTAATAGAGTTAATGCATTTTCACTAAATAATCAATAGAGCCCCCCCCCCCCCCCCCCCCCCTCAAGAACCCCAAAAACTGAGGCCATGTATTTAAAAATTTTGGAAGAGGCATCCTTGCCTATCTTAATCATGCACTTAGTTTGTTTAAATAATCTCCAGTAGCAAAGAAGAAGATTTTCATAGAATCAATGCATTTTCACTATATAATCAATAGAGCCCCGCCCTAACACCGGAACCCCTGACCCTGGGGCCATGAAATTCACAATTTTTAAAAAGGCATCCTTATGCATCATAACCATGCACTTAGTTTGTTTAAATAATCTCCAGTAGCAGAGAAGAAGATTTTCAAAGAATCAATGCATTTTCACTATATAATCAATAGAGCCCCACCCTAACACCAGAACCCCTGACCCTGGGGCCATGAAATTCACAATTTTTGAAAAGGCATCCTTATGCATCATAACCATGCACTTAGTTTGTTTAAATAATACCCAGGAGCAGAGAAGATTTTCAAAGAATCAATGCATTTTCACTATATAATCAATACAGCCCCGCCCTAACACCAGAACCCCTGACCCAGGGGCCATGGCTTTCACAATTCTGGAAGGAGCCCACCTCCTCATCATAACTATGTACTTAGTTTATCATCTTAATGCCCAGGAGCAGAGGAGGAGATTTTCAAAGAATTAATGCATTTTCACTATATAGTCAATAGAGCCCCGCCCTAATACCAGAACCCCTGACCCAGGGGCCATGAAATTCAAAATTTTGGAAGAGGCTCTCTTGCTCATCATAACTATGTACTTAGTTACTTAATTTAATACCCAGGAGCAGATAAGATTTTCAAAGAATTAATGCATTTTCACTAGATAGTCGATAGAGCCCCGCCCTAACACCAGAACCCCTGACCCTGGGGCCATGAAATTCACAATTCTTGAAAAGGCACTTTTGCTCATCATAACTATGTACTTAGTTACTTTATTTAATACCCAGGAGCAGAGAAGAAGATTTTCAAAGAATTAATGCTTTTTCACTATATAAACTATAGAGCCCCACCCTAACACCAGAACCCCTGACCCTGGGGTCATGAATTTCACAATTTTGGAAGAGGCACTCTTGCTCATCATAACTATGTACTTAGTTACTTTATTTAATACCCAGGAGCAGAGAAGAAGAGGCACTCTTGCTCATCATAACTATGTACTTAGTTACTTTATTTAATACCCAGGAGCAGAGAAGAAGATTTTCAAAGAATTAATGCATTTTCCCTATATAATCAATAGAGCCCCACCCTTATACCAGAACCCCTAACCCCGGGGCCATGAATTTCACAATTTTGGAAGAGGCACTCTTGCTCATCATAACTATGTACTTAGTTACTTTATTTAATACCCAGGAGCAGAGAAGAAGAGGCACTCTTGCTCATCATAACTATGTACTTAGTTACTTTATTTAATACCCAGGAGCAGAGAAGAAGATTTTCAAAGAATTAATGCATTTTCCCTATATAATCAATAGAGCCCCACCCTTATACCAGAACCCCTAACCCCGGGGCCATGAATTTCACAATTTTGGAAGAGGCACTCTTGCTCATCATAACTATGTACTTAGTTACTTTATTTAATACCCAGGAGCAGAGAAGAAAATTTTCAAAGAAATAATGCACTTTCACTATATGATCTATATAGCCCCACCCTGGGGCCATGAATTTCACAATTTTGGAAGAGGCACTCTTGCTCATCATAACTATGTACTTAGTTACTTTATTTAATACCCAGGAGCAGAGAAGAAGATTTTCAAAGAATAAATGCATTTTCACTATATAATCTACAGAGCCCCGCCCTAACACCAGAACCCCTGACCCTGGGGCCATGAATTTCAAAATTTTGGAAGAGGCACTCTTGCTCATCATAACTATGTACTTAGTTACCTTATTTAATACCCAGGAGCAGAGAAGAAGATTTTCAAAGAAATAATGCACTTTCACTATATGATCTATATAGCCCCACCCTGGGGCCAGAACCCCTGACCCTGGGGCCATGAATTTCACAATTTTGGTAGAGGGCTCAATGCTTATTACAATGATGCCAACAGTTTGACTGCTTGATGTCCGGGAGTAAAGAAGAAGATTTTTAAAGATTGCATTATTTTTGGTGGTTTTAGCCCCACCCCTCAGGCCCCAGGGGGGCAGGGACCATGAAATTCACAAATTTTGTTCCCCTTTACCCATAGATGCTATATGCCAAATTTGGTTGAAATTGGTTAAGCGGTTATAGAGAAGAAGCTAAAAATGTTCAAACGTTAACGCACGACGCACACCGCACGACGACGGACGAGAACGGATAGCAATAGGTCACCTGAGTGACTCAGGTGACCTAATAATATTCTTGACAACCATGAGGTAACATTTTCAGACCCTTTCAAAGAAATGTGCAATAAATATTATATACTGTGGCACTTTCCAGGAATGTCAAAAATATAAAGTCTTAGTAGTTTGCCTCCCCTTTTTCTTACATATATTATTCCAAGAATAAATACATGTAATCATTTTCCAACTCAGCTCCTCTTTCATAACATTCAAAATCATATTTTACCCTTAGAATAAATGAAACCTTTTTCATGTTAATCAGCTTTCAACAGTATCTCCCAATTATTTCAAAATATGAGACACAATGTTCAATTTACCCAGCACCTAAGATCCTCTAGATACATTAAAGATAGTCAAAAATATTAATAACATTGCTCACAAAATTTTAGCTACTTTAGTTTATAAACTACTATACATTTCAGAAAACTACCAATACATCAACTTTCAAGTGTTTTAGAAAAATGGTATAAAATTAACATCATATGAAAATATATGTGTAGCATTAGACAAAATGAGTATGATAGAGCAAAAGTTTCCTGAGTTTATTGCGATTATTTGAACAGACTGAAGATTGTCTTGTGACAAAATCATCAGCTACCTCATTCATAAAAATAAACAGGATATGCTGAAGCATTCATAATACATGTATATATTAAATAAGTCACATATATTGCTGCAGCACTCAAACTACATGTTCTGACACTCTTGTAATAAAAAGATTTTAACTCAATAAAAAATACTTTGCATATCCATTTTTAGACTAAAATCATCTATCTGGAATCAGTATCCACTAAAATATGGCAAGTATTCTTCTTCCAAACAACTGGCAACCTACTGCATCTCCTATGAATAAAAAAGCAGCTCTTATCTCCCCTTTCTCCTAAACAGCACTAAAAACTGTTTCTTCTTCATACATAATGGAAGATCTTCCCAACTTCATGACTGGCAGATTGAGATTTTTTTTTTTTTGGCAAGCACCAATTCTTCTCCATTTTTAGCAGTATTCTTCCATACTACGGAGTTCAATTATGTTGTACAAAGCCTGCTGAACATCTGGGTCCATGTGTCCCTACAAAGAAAGACAAATTCAGATTTGCATGTCATTCATACATTTACACACCTCTAAAAAGGCATTCCATGTATAAACAGTATAACTTCACTTTATATAGTAAATTTCCCCCTTTTTAAAAAAATATAGTTATTTACATTTCAGACTGTTTTCACTGTGATAACTCTTTGAATTTAATTTCTTGATATTTAAAACTGAATGTAAATTTTGCCAAGTGAAAAATCTCATGCCTAAAATGCATGTCAATAGGCGAGAATCATCCACAATGTAAACAAGAACGCAGAAATCATCCAATACACACTCCCTTCATCATCTAATGCATTTGGAAATACCACTTGTGTCGTAAATATCCAATATATGACTTTGTCAGCAATTTTGTCCTACACATCAATGGTTTTCTCACAAATTCTCACTCTGTATTTTTTTAATAGTTTGAAATACCAAAAACTGTATCAAACATTGAATACTGAAATTTGACATGAATGCCTAGTGTAATTCTTTTACACAGCATTTATGATAAACATTTACAATTTTACTTCAAGTATAAATGTATATATAAGGGATCGCTGTATAGTTCGTTGGGTATGCCAGGTCATTAACGCCAGTTGGATACATTGAATAATTTGCATAATGGGTAAAATTACCCGTTATGCAAATTATCCCACTTTTCCAACTGGCGGTAATGACCTGGCATTCCCAACAATATAAACAGTGATCCTTAATTAAACTCCTGGCTGATTACTGAGCTCTGTACAACACTTGAGTTGTATACCTGTACTTACCTGTACTGCACTGATTAGGTGGGTTCTATATGTATTGATAACATCCATGTGGTGCCGATCAGTTTCCTGGAAAGTAGACAAGATTAAAGATAAAATTAGTCTAAATCAAAAACTTGACAAGAATTCAGTCACAAAACCACTGAAGATTCCTTATATTTCAGGAGTATACTGAACATTTCTTAATTTAGTTTAAAAAAAAAAAAACAAAAACAAAAAAGCTGCTTAATAGGGATAGTAATTTTTCACACAAAATTGGTGGCCTTTCTTCACATACAAACAGTAAAAAATTGTCCAAATAAATGCCAATTAAATTCACAATTAACTACATGTTGTTGTGATTCCTTCATGGTAAATTAATTTTATATCAAGACTTCAAATGATAGAAATAAAATAAAAGTTCCAGATGTTATGAGAAAATTTCCTGAATTATTCTTGTATTAGGGAATACACAGTATGCAATGAAAATAGTAAAATTAGAAATTCTCGAAAAATGTTGAAATTTGAACTGTCTTGAATAATACAAATCTTTAAGTGGCTATATTGATACATGCTCTGTTAAGTCTCAGTACATTTCTATCTTTTACTAAATTTTGTAATCATTATACAGGCATTTTGTGTGTGAAATGTGCAGTTACACATCAACAGCAGAATTATCTCCCAAGAATGGGTTTCTGTTTTAATGGACACAGTGATTGCTAGCATTCAGTGCTTAGATTTCTCTCCAGTTTTGTTAGAATCTTCATTCATTCTTAGAGCACTTTATGTTTATATATCTTTTCTTATTCTTTTTGTCTGTTTCTAAATAAAGCAAACACTATACTCAATAAAAAAAAAACAAACTGCAAACATATGAAAAATATCTATCACACTTTTAAGCAAAACATGGCAACTGAAAACATGACAACTGAAAAGAGAGACAATCTGCTTCTGCAATGATCAATACCTAGATCACTGGGAGTACAAATTAACTTTGTCACTATCAGCAATGAGTTCAAACAAATTAAGCAAAAACAAACAAAACTTGAAAACCACAGAACAACAAAACCGAATGAAGGACTAATGATGTGCAAAACTACTTATAAACCTTTAGTTCTTTGCAATTGAAAAAAATGAAAGAGGACACCCAACATTATTTACATTTTCTTCCATTAATTTGGGTAAAATCAAAGCCAATAAACATATTGAGACCATGTTGAGACTGCAAGTTATCAGTTTTCTTTTAAAATCTTGGATAAATTACAATTCTGGATTATAATATATATATATCTAAACAAGAATTCTTTAATATATGCAGTGAATATTAGTGACTTCCATTCTCTGTGCTCCAAACAAGATGTTATGTAAGAAAACGTAAGCAGGGTGACATTAGAAGCTGAACACAAGACTCCAGATTAAGACGAAGCCAATCATTTGGAATACCATTACCTGATTGCCCATTGTGATGAAACTGGCTCACTTAACCCTGTAAAGATTAAAGGAGGAGAAGCCAGCCAGCTTGCCTGTGTCGAGGAGCAAATGTGGGGCCAATATAACGATAATGACGCAGGAAAAACACACAATGAAAACATTGTCACATGCAATTTGATGCTCTGCTGTCATTTCACACACAACTGAACCATAATTTGAACACATCAGAACCAAAAATCATGAACCACTATATTCATAAATATGAATGTTGGACTAGACCAGAAAAGTATACACATGTAATCAGACATAAAAAATATCCACCGGGTATTGAACTTTTTGGACATGACAATTACAGAATAGTTGATGAACTTTGAATTATTTCCACTGAGGAGAATTAAAAACCTACAGCCAGTTGTTGCTGAAGACGTGCAACCTGGAGTTGCAGGGATTTGATCTGCTTCTCCTTATCTGCTGCTAAGGGGTCTGATTGCACAAAGCTGTGGGCTGCCACTTCTTTTTTCAGCTGTTCTTGGGTTCTAGACAACTCCTGCTTAAGCTTACTGCTTCCTTCCTCTAGAAGTGCATTACTCTTGGACAATTCCTTGATTGTCATCTCCAGCTGTTCTTTCTCATATGCCAGGATTTCATTTTCTTGCTGCAGTTGCTCCTTTTCTTCCTGTAGGATTGGATTGCGCTGTTCCACCTGAACACTTGCTGTCTGAACTTCCAGAAACTCCTGCTCCAATTTGTCCTTATCTTGTAACAATTCCGAATAATCCTGTTCAAGCTGATTATAATCCTGTTGTAAAGTCTCATGATTCTGAGTAAGCTGGTCAAACTCATTTTGGGCATCCTCAAAGTCTGCCTGAATCTGGTCTTGTTCCTTCTGCAAAAGCCGGTTCTGTTCCTGAACATTCTGTACTTCTTCCAACACTACATCATGGTCATGTTTCAGACTCTCATTCTCAGTTCTTAATTCTTCAATCTCTATCTTTAATTTATCTCTTTCTTCCATAACTTTAGCCATCTCACTGGCTTTCCCAGAAAAGTTTGTAGCACTAAGCTTCCTTTCTAAATCTTCCTTTTCTTCCATCACTTCTTTGTACTTTTCCTGAAGTTTTTCCAGTTCATTTACAAGCTTTTCTAAATCATCATGCATAGCATTACCATCTGAGAGAAGAAACTCATTTTCTTTCACAATATCATCCTTCTCCTGCATCAGTTTTTCAAACTCCTCGTATTGCTGGTCCTTCTCCAGTAACAACTGGTCATACATGTCCTGTAGATTGTCTCCTGCTTGCACTAATTTGTCGTAAGTGTCCCTAAGATTCTCCAAATCCACCTTCAGATTATCACGTTCTTCCACCAGTTTAAGATTTTCTTCCCTTAGTGTGGATACATCCTCAATGGGACTACCATCTCTGTCAGTGTCTGGTTCATCACCCTCTATTCCATTCATCATTACCTGCTAAACAGGGAAAGTCAATAAATAAATGCAAAATGCAATGATCACTCAAACAGTCATTTTTGATCCATTTATTATTTATATAATAGTGTTATTATTTGGATGTACTATGCCGAAATAGTAGTCAGGGTTTGACACATGGTGCACGAGCCGGAGGCGAGTGCACTATCTGTCAAACCCTGACTACTATTTCGGCATAGTACATCCAAATAATAACACTATTATAATTATTACGCTGACTGTTGTTTGTATACGACAATTTAATTAAATTCTCAATCCCAAACCTGTTTGCAGACGTTAAATCTAAATGAAAATTTTCTTGAACATTCTTTAATCCAGCGTTATACCAAAAAGCATTTTATTGACTCCGAAGAACCAGTTCACGTTACGTTGCAATTTTGGTTACTGATAAATTCGATTATTTGTTAGAGAATTTTTCTTTAAGATCCTTATCAATAATATCAGTCTTTTAGAAATTATATTCATTTATTTCTTGTTTTGTGACAAATGTATAAAAACTACGTTTATATACTTGAAAATACATTCCGTAAAGTAGCGGTGTTTGTGGCGTAATCGGTAACACGTTGGACTGACGTTCTCGAGATCGTGAGTTCGATCCCCAGCGTGGGTGCTAAATACATTTTCTCTAGAAAAGACAGCCATGCACTATTTCGGCATAGTATGCTTACGCTATATAAATCCTTAGAACACTATGCGAAAATAGTTGGGTATTGATTATATAGAGACAAACTAACAGGAAGCATAATAATTTATATTTTTCAGTTTTTTAAAAAATATGTATACTGGTATCGTATCTGAGATTCTAATGGAATAACAAGAGCACCTTCTGCATTTTCCCTTCCTTCTCATTTTCTTTGGCTCTCATCTTCTTTAAAACTTCTGCTTGTTGACTAAGCTGATAAAAGATAAAGGGATTTCTGTTTAAAATGGTACTTTACATCAGTTAAACTTAGGAATTGTTCTACTTTTGAACAAACATTGCATTCTATCTCAATATACCCATATTGACACCATACCCCTTTTTCAAAAACCAAAATAAAAGCCCAACATTGCATATCAACAAGATACGTTGGCATAAGTCCATTACAATATAAGAATTTTTCTTTGACAACAGTGTTGTACACTGACCACTTGATCTGAGAGGGCCTTATTCTCCTCCTCTAAAGCATCCAGGCGTTCCTGCATCTCCTCCAGCTCTGCCTTCAAACCTACCACCAGGTCATGTGACTCAATGTCAAAGTCACCAGAATGATTTACTTCGTCACTCATCTGTTGCTTCTCTTCTTCCTATGTCATAAATATTCTTAGAGTGAAACATTCGTAAAGATGTGTTATTCATAAATGTTGCATTTTTACACACTAAAACTTTCATGAATAATCCAAGATGGTAAGAATGTGTCAGTGAAAATGTACTAGCACTTTTAAAAAGATAAACATGTATTTAAAAAACAAAATAGAGAAAAAAAAGATATAAATTTTTTTTTTAATTTGACTTTATCTTTATGGTAATGACTATCAGCAATATGCAGCTGAAAATAATCACACACTCCACTGAGTTTATACAAAATCTGTTTTGACCTTGACCTTTGACTCCTGCATGGTTCCTACAAAGCCTTTACCCAACAGTACTCTTTATGTGAAGTATGAGTCAGACTGAGCCAAGGAAAGCAAATATATTTTGCAAGGATTTTATATGGAGACATGTCTTGACCCTATCCTTTGACAGAAACCTACATCCAGGTCACTGTGGAGTATGAGCCAACTGTTCTGAGGGCAAAAAATATACATGTATATTCTAAACAAGGATTTTACACAAAGAACTGATTTGACCTTGACCTCTCACCTACAAATTTGGTTCAACATCACTGCCAACACCCTTTATTTAAAGGCACTCAGTAGGTGAGTATTTGATTGAACCAAGAGGAGAGAAAACATACTAACGACAAGTTATATCAGATGGATAGACAGACTAAACACTATAGGACACCTAAAGTATGGACCTCTAATAACTATACTTATCATATGACTGTTAATCAATATAAATATACAATAAATACTTGTCAACATGCTCTTCACTTAAGATTCATGCTATAGAAAGCTCTCAGATGCCAAAGAACTCTTAGATAGTGTATGACATCAAATATATAAGATGATAAATCATTATTTGTTAGTTTTAGAACTGACTGACAGGAAGCAAAACTATTATGCAATATCCCCGTCTACAAAAGGAATTTAAAATATAATCAAAAAAGAAAAGTATCTTCTTTTTTATTCTAAATACTATGTGCATTTTTCTTGATGTTTGACAAAGTTCAGTCTAACCCACCACAAAAACTATGTCAGTCATATTGATTGCAACTCAATATTTTCTAAAAAATAATTTATCCAAAATAAAGAGTAAATTTATAACTCTTCCCAACCTTCAAATTAGTACAAAAGAATTGGAAAAGAAATTAACACAACAATGCATCAATAGGATTACTTCAGAACTGAACAAGACATGCATTTAATACATGTGCAGTATAAAATGAACAGTTTCAAATGTGTCTTCACTTATAAAATCATCATGCAGTACCGCAGATGATAGTCTAATCTCCATGTCCGCAGCAATTTCTTCTGAAAAGCAATCATTCAATGATCATTCCAACCTGAACATCTAACTGTCCTGTTACTTAATGGTAATGATTTTAAAATGACCCAATCAGTATATTTATTAATTGTAATTTGAGACAACTGACCTTCTGAAGCTTTTGTTGCTCTAGTTCTTGTTCTAAGGTGTAAATTTTGCTTCTCAGCATAGCAATTGTCTGCTTATCTTCTGTCTTTGTTTTCCTCTCTAATGAACAGAAAGAACATATCATACAATAATACATAGGTAGGCCTTTCTCATCTGCACTTACTTTGCAGTAATGAATCCAAAAGGATACTGACGACTGATTCTCTTTCACAATAGCTGATGATTTTTATAATTTCAATCCATGTAACATTTGCTATCTCATAAAGATTTTTTCTGTGCAGTCTTCTTAATCTGAACAATTTTTTAAAACTTTTTATAACAATTTATACTATTTATATAGCATCACATATACATGTATGTAGGTCAATGACTCAACAGGTTTTATACCTAAAGTGTCAAATAGATCTTCCTCATTATCATTCCAAGCATCGTCTGTGGTTTTACTTTCTACATTCCTGGTACCCTGAAATCATTACCAAGCTACATATACAACCACTTCACTCTTAAGCTTTACACACTATGACTACAATTTTCAAAAATATGGAAATCAGCATCAGAAGTCAAGGTCATTAGAGACAGAATTTGAACCTGTTTATCACTGGTAATGAGCCTCTCTTGTAGTTCCTGGTTCTTCTCTTTCTCTACAGACAGAGCATCCTCAAGTATCTCAATCTACAACATTACATTTACAAAATTTGTGTTTCTTACTTGCATGATATTTTTCAGGCAAAAAATTGACAGTCTCTTTTCAATCAATCAAAAGAACTAAGTCCCATAACCCTAGCTTACCTGTTCTTTCATCTTTTCAAGTTTATCATCTGCCACCTAAAATTAAAACACTGCAGTATTAGAATAGCATTTATCTTATCTTTTTTTTTAACAAATCTTTCAACACGAAGATAAAATTTTTAAACTTCTAAAATACATTAGTTTGTTGCTATACTGTACCTTAGACTCATTTTGTTCAAGCTGTTTTCTGAGTTGAACAACTTCATCCTGTAACTTTCTGTTCTGGAGTGTCATCCTGTTCAAGTCTTCATTGAGTTGTTCATGTTCTTCTTCTAATTCCTAGCATTTGAAACAAAGTAAACCTTGATTAATCTATCACACATCTAGTCAATTTTAATGAAATATATGTAACTGAATTTAAAAATTAACATTCACTGGAATATTCAAACCTACAACTCAAATGTATGTACACCTTGTATGGTTATTGAATGACTGTGTGTTCTTTTTTTTCTTAAAACAATACCAAGGAGAATAAATCAGCAAGGTTTACAATTAATGGTGTTTAAAAATAATTTTTAATGAAAAATTATTTATAAAATATAATATGTAGGAGATCCTGTAAACTTGTACCTGTAAATCCCTTCATAATTAGGCCTAAAAAAAAAATAACAGAATGAATGAAGGGAAATTCTTAAAAGGGGGTGGGGGGGGGGGGTCCAACATGCAGATCAAGGATGTTAAAAGATATTTAAGACTTGTGAAGCAGTTTTTATATCAGTTAGTTATGGAAATTATTCTGAATTTTGGTTTAAACATTTTTCATACAGGCCTCTGAAAAAAAGAAGAAATGATGGTCTACTCTGCGATACACATCCTCTAACATGAGGATAATATTGAATCCTTAAAATTCAGAGTGTAGAAGAAATTAGTTTGTAAATAATTGTACAATCTTGATGTGAAACTGTCTCAAAACAAAAACACATCTAATGAAAAAAAATCAATTAAAACAGAGAGTGAAAAGCCATTTAGAGTCTGAAAAATGCTCTACTTTGTGGATATCAATGCAAGATGGAACTTTCACAATAAGTCTGTCTGTTATAGCTGTAGCTACTATATTTTAAAGTTATGAACAAAGCATTATCAATTAATTGCTTAAAATTCATATCATGAAGCTCCATAACAAAAGACAGGTTAATGTCGAAATCTGATCATCTCTGAAATTTTATTTCCCTTTTCTAGTAAATAATCTTAAGAAAATGTTGTTATATGAAATAGAAATGTGCCTAATACCTGGCCTTCTAATATTATACTTTTGATCTACATAAGGATATATTATCTATGTTAAAATTTAATAAATGAAAACACTTAAAATTCCTCCTCCTTCCCTTCAAGACTAACACTGATGACATCAAGATCCTAGATGAGTGTAAAGGGAACAAAGAAAGAAGGTGCCAGCACCCATGCAGTCTGCCACACAAGGCCAGAATAATCTTGGGGGGAAATCTGCTACATGTAGCTTTGCTTACCTTTGATTGAAATCCCTTTGAAAGAAGAAAATCATAAAAGGCTCAATCAAAACTGACACTTACTGAAGTTTCAGCCTGCAAAATGCTGACAGAATTCTGTATACTGTGTAGTTTTTTAAGGGATACTGATTGGATTAAACTTGCAGATCTATGCGAGTTACCCAAAAGAGACAATCACATTACAACGAAAAGATGCGTGTCTTGATTCAATAATTATTTAGCTTAAAAATATAAATGTCAAGCTATGATAAATAATATTATTTCTGAGTATTATATTTAAATTTTTTTCCCTAAGACATGTGCGCCATGAAAGATACATGTGGTTTTTTCTGTGCCAATGTTTGTCTTTAAACAGGTATATCATGCTGTATGTCACCAGTGAATACTGTATATGCTACAGAAAATGCTACTGATTAACCAAGAACCCTATCTTTATCAAAATTTAAAATTAACTCATAATTATTTTTCAAACACAAGTACAGTGTAGAAGGAAACTGAAGATAATATAAATAAATCTAGGTTTAACATAAAACATGCCGAGTATATTAAAACAAGAATCCACACTCCTTTCCCACTTGCCCATCACATATTTCCCCTCCATCTTTCTGTTAATACCTTGTAAGCCTCCATGGCTCTCTGCTGCTGAAGTTGCTGCTGCTCAGATGAATTCTGGGTAGAAGAACTGGCAGCTGACAATGTTCTTGGCTATAAAAACAAATTTATTATTATTTTTTCTCCATGATTACAGCTATTCCTTGTCATAATCAAAAATTCACCTCATTAATACCGGCTTTAATTGAAATCAAAATATCCAAGCAAAGCAATATTTTTTACCATACCGCCCGATACCAAAAGCATTATGTTATAAAAAAAAAAAATTAAACAAGAAGTCTGTGAGCAAATGCTCACTAATAATACCCCCGCTCTGATGTGAATACACAAGTTCGGTTATGGACAAACACAGTGATAATCAGGAAATTGACATCGGATTTGTAAAAACTGAATCCCAACATATGGCATGCCTAAACAAAGATTGTGCTAAAATTTCAAGCATCTGCAATGAGTAGTTGCTGAGAAAACTACGACAAAAATTTGTTATGTATGATACAGACAGATGCACGGATAAACAGGAATTTGACATCGGATTAGTACAAAAATGAATCCCATTATATGGCATGCCTAAACAAAGATTGTGCTAAAATTTCAAGCATCTGCAATGAGTAGTTGCTGAGAAAACTGCAACCAAAATTTGTTACAGACAGACAGACAGACAGACGGACGGACAGACAGACAGACACACAAGGGTAAAACAGTATACCCCCCTCTCCTTCAGAGCGGGGGTATAATAAATCATTATGAAAAGAGTATTCCTTTATTTGTATAGTTCATTGATCTCTAACAACAGACATGTATATTTTTGTCTGTGTTATGATCATACTTACTGATGGGGCCTCCTCCACCACACTCCTATGCTCCAGTTTAGGGGAGGGTCTTGGTGAAGGTTCTTGAACAAACTCAACAACATCAGCCTGCAACAATAAAGGTCAATTGAAAGATTATGATTTTTTTATTCTTTATTCATGATAACAGGATATGAAGTCACAAAACGAATTACAAAATTGTTAAGGTCCTACTGCCTCTGGATGTATGAGAACAAGCAAGTCAATAGACACAATGCTAATAGTCAAAAGCAATACCTGTTCTGCCTGCAATGATTCCATTACCCCAGTATTATATCCCCCCTCAGCTCCCTGCACCAATTTTGATTTAGCTGTAATACACATTATTCAACACTTGTACTCACTAAAGACAACATACTGAATATTTAGAGAGGCTACAAAATAATTTCAATTTAAAAAATTCATAATGAATCCAGTATCTTGCATAACTCATTCTATGTATAAAATATTATAGACAAAGATTTACATTATTTTGAGTACTAAGCAATAAATTACATGGCTACAAGTGTTTTTACCAAACATACCGATATCATTTTGTAAATCCCATGATGCCCTAGTGGGAGCTTTCTCAAAAATTCTTTTTATTTCATTATGTCCCTCATCCATTGCATAATCCAGTGCTTTCCGACCTAAAAAATGGAGTAAAAAGATAATTTTTAAAATACTTTTCCAACATTTAACAAGAGACACTATGAACAAACAAACAAAATTACACCACCAATTACAACTCATTCTTTACTTTAAACTTGTGTAAATAATTTGGGTCAGGTTCATAACGCATTCCCAATGTTCACACAAAGTCTATCATGTATGATCTACAAGTTTGTCTTGGTAACAAAGTTCCCTTGTTGCTTTGCCAGTGACCTTGAACTTAAAGGACCTTATGTGAAGTTCATTGGACCCTTTTGGTTGTATGCATTCTTTCTGTTGATATAATCATCCAATGTTTCTATATTACAAGATGTAGTCTGAATGAGAAATTTTTTGATAATGACTTTGAACTTTTAACATGTTTAAAATGATGAAGGTCATGACACAGTCTGAGGTCATAAGCAAACCCTCCTCTGCAAAGCATGGGTTTTCAATGTTTCTCTGTTCACAGTTATGAACAGAACATGAATTCAGTGTTCTACCATTATCTTGCCTAAATGACCTTTAACTAATGTTGTAACATACTCTCATATCAAATGCAACCTTTGCGTCAAATATGATTATTTAGTGTTTCTCTCTTAAAAGTTATTGACACCACTTATAAATATATATATATTTTCTTTCAGTCAGAGACCATGTCCAAATGAAGTTGGGTTAATTTTATAGCACAACTTTGTATAATCAATCTTTCTGATGTTATGAGCATCAAATATTTCCCAATCACAATAATATGATCTGGACAAGAATTGCAGTTTCTTGTCAACAATGTTGAACTTATCCCAGTGACCTTCAAAAAGTCAAGACACATCCTCAGATGCTTAGCAATCTTTGTGTTCTGTATAGATATAGCTACCTGGTTTGGAGTAATCAAATGAACTCAATTTACCAAGACAAGTTCAAAATTTACCTGATATCTGATACAGTATTGAAAGATGTAGCTAAATTGAGTTACTTAGGTTTTACTTTCCTATTTTCCATTTTACATGTAAATCAAATACTTTAATGAAATTAATTAAAAATACTTTAATGCCACCATCAATGAATTTTTAACAAGAGCAATGTGTTCCAGCCAAAATATGCAAATTACCTTGTACATCAGGAAAGTCTCGATCGGCTCCTTTTTTAAGTAACCACTCACAAACATCAGTACGCCCCTTCTTTGCTGCAGCCATCAGTGGGGTCCTAAAAAAAAAGTCAGGACTAAAAATAGAAAGCATTTTGAGTGAGATATTAATATGTACTTACAATACAGGAAATCCTTTTCTACCTCTCCATTTCTTAATAATAACACATAATAATTATAATAGTCTTTTATTTTGATTTAAAAAAAAGAAGTACTTTTAGCATATTAAGGCTTTACTTGCATGACAAAAAACAAGTAAATAATATAACATTAACCATCAACATTGTTCCAGTCAAACCTTACACTTTATGATTGTCACATGTGTTGACATCTGCCCCTTTGTCCAGGAGTTCCTTACAGATGTTAAAGTCACCACAATGGGCAGCATAAAATAAACATGTCTTCCCAGTCTAAAAATAAAATCAAAACAGTTCTATTTTCCATTGTGCTTTTTAAAAATCTATTTTGAAGTCAAAAAAACTTTTTAAATTATTTATGTAAGGACTGGCCCACCTTATCCTTGATGTTGATGTCTGCTCCACTTCGCAGTAAAACCTGGACACATTCATACTTGGCATCCATACAGGCATGATGAAGGGCAGTCAGGTTATTACCATCCTTATGGTCTACCACAGCCCCAATCTAATAGGAATAATCATCCCATGTTTTAGTCAGAGAAATCAACACAGAAGGAATTCATCAAAACAAACACAAACAAGAGATGTTTGTGAACCACTTATGCCCCCCTCCCCCCAAATAATTGGAATTTTTCTAAGTTCAAGAGGCAAAACTATGTCAAAAATTGCTCGATCGTACCCAAAACATATTTTTTGATAAATCTGACATATCACATAATGTTGACAGATGGACTGATGGAACAAGACAGACAGACCCAGTGATTACTGTATGGCACTAGCCTGGTTCCCTGTACCTTTTCTGCTTGTGTTCTCCATGGCACTTCAGCCAGGTGGACTACAATCAAGTCAGGGTAATGTTGCCCTGAATCTATGCCCATAACATTGTATTTAGCTATTCATCAATGTAGAAGTTCATGGTGACACCTTATTTTCTATTCGGTATATGTAATACATCATGATGTCATATTTAGCCAAATTTTATTTCTATGGCTAATGGCAATGGCTCAGAATTCAATGATTTTTGTGCAAGTAGTACTGACCAATCTGACCGAATTTACATTGGATTGAACTCCACCTGGCTCTCTTGCCTTGGCAAAGATAAGTCAGGGAACCAGCTTATATATGGCACCTGTATCTTTCTTTATCTTGAACACTAATAACAAGACACCCATTGAAAACAATGCTCACCTGAATAACCATGATCCTTCTGTTCTTTATCAGCAGATTTTTCCCCCTATATATTCTTATGTAAAACCTTGATTGTGCATTGTGGCCCTACCCTACCCCCAGGGGTCATGATGTGAACAAACTTGAACCTATACATGAGGATGCTTCCATATTAAAAAGTTGACCAACCATGGCTTTATTGTTTTTGAGAAGATTTTTTCCTATGTAAAAATTTGATTGCCCACTGTGGCCTATCCAACCCTGAGGGTTTTGAACACACTTGAATCTAAACTACTTGAGGATGCTTCCATATAAATATAATTACTAATGGCTTTGCTGTTCCTGAGAAGAAGATTTTTAAAGATTTTAATATTTCCATGTAAAACTTTCTCGTCCATAGTAGCCCCACCCTACCCTGGAAGTGGGACATAATTTGAACAAACTTGAATCTATGCTATACTGAAAGCTTTCATCTTTTCTGGCCCTGTGGTTTGCGAGATTTTTGAACAACCCCAATCAATTTTGACTATTTCTTAATTATCTCCCCTGGGAAAAGGGTGTGGCCCTTCATTTGAACAAATTTGAATCTCCTTCACCCAAAGATATTCTTTGCCAAGTTTGGTTGAAATTGGCGTAATGGTTCTGAAGAAGATGATGATGACAACAAACAATGGACAAATTTCAATAAGAAAAGCTCACTTGTGCCTTCTGCTCAAGTGAGCTAAAAATACTTAAGGACGTATGGTAGTGACGATTTTGAATCCACCGCGCAACTCCGAATGACGTAAATGAATCGTATGTCGTTCATCTCTTTAGTAGAGTTGGAAATAAAATTTACAATGCAACTTATTTTAAAGATATACTTGATATAAAATCATATAAAATGTGACTAAAATTTCATTGGATTCAAACTAACAACAAGTCGAGGTAATTTTACGACTTATCTTACTTTTCGGTAATGTAAACAAAGCGGATGTTTCGAAAAGAATGAAATGCGGAGAAAACGAGGATTTTCGTCAACCAAATCTATTCAGTGGCACAGCAAGGCTTCGTTGACTCAAAAAAGGCGATGGTGAGCTGCGTCTGACTGAAAATTACTGTGCAAAGATTAAACCCATCATTCGAATCACAAACGCATGACAACTCTAGCCTAGCAAAAACGATCTGCCCAGGTTTGTCTCTAGTATTTGACACCATTTAACTAACATTACCTCAGAAATTCAGTAAAAGTGATTGTGGCTCAGCAAAATACCGGTATTAGATAAGATAAGATATATATATATATATATATATATATATATATATATATATATATACGAGTGAACTGGGTACTATTTTCGAATTGGGGGCAATGAGTGAACTCACAACATTATAAATTAGTGACGATTCATGTTAAAGTTTTTTTCAAAAAAAAGCAGAGATTTTGTGATTAAAAATTGTTATATTCTTCCTTAGTTGTTGTTTACAATATAGATTCGAAAAAGGGATAAAGAGCACTACACTATATTATAATAAAAACAATACCACTGGTTACCAGTGCACACATGAGGGGGTAAATTACACGATTTATATACAATTCTGTTTTGTAATTTATTTTTATATTGTGTGACATGATTGCATTCCGGAATGTTGGTGAATCAATAAAAATTCAAAAATTTATTGATGTTATTCAGGTGTGCTTGATTTTGGAAAAACGTTTCGAGTTTCATGTACTCTATCATGTCTACATGTATGTATTGATGCTTTTAAATTTAGCAAACATAGAAAATATATTAAAAGAAACAGTAATTTATTATAAATGTCAAGTCATATGAGACACAGTTATAACTCAATGTAATTTGAAGGTAACCAGATGCAAGGTGTTGGACACTGTTTAGACAATATTTTCTTCCAAAACATACTAGATAAAAAATTCACTACACTACAACACAAAATAATACTTACCACTAAATTCTTTGGCCTAAAACAGGGCTTTTCTTTTTATTAAGATTATTTCTTTCCTTATTAATTTCCAAGTTATGTTGATGGTGGAGTGTCTGAATTGCAATTTTGACTATAATCATTTTTTTTAATTGAATTTTCTTCTGAGTTCATGAAAGCTAAAAGCATCAATACATATTATAGAGTATGTGAAACTCAATCATAATCATGTAGACCACACAATATGAAAATAAAATAAAACACTCGTTTTGTATATACTGCATCTACATTTACATACATGCAGTGATAGGGAAGAAATCTCAGCTATATAGATTTAGTAGTACATGTATATTATTTGAATAGGTATCCCTAATATTGTGGACATTGAACATGAAGTTGAGATGGAACAGGATCTGGAACCCTTAATATCTGCTATCTGGAAACTTGGAAGGAGTGTTATGGAACTGGGGGTGATATGACAGATGCTCTAAAATGTCAATGCCATTTCAGCAGCTCTTTCATGCTGTGGATATCCTAACTTATGGATCATCAGCTATCATTAAGGTACATTTACATTTGTCAAAATGTTAGGCTGTGTTGTTGTTAGGCAAAATTGTTTCCACTTTCACAACCCAGTGAACTCACCCTTTTTTGTAGCTGACCCTAATTTTTTTAAAATGTTTTTTCAATAAAAATATGAATATTCATTTTAAATTCCCCAATGATAGCATGTATAAAAAAAATTTCACCATAAATAAAACACTATTTCTTTGACTTCCAGTCTATGCAAAAGACATCGGACCGTCAGACCTGACCGATGTGCAGTGCCTCTGGTCCGATGCGTCATTTTTTACACCGGACCAGAATGTCCGATGTGTCTATGTCCAGTTTTGAGCATTATTCTTTTGATGGGGAGTCATGTAAATGTTTGTTATAAGTAAAAAATTTCTCACAAATCCAAATACGTAAATGAAGGTGATTAAAACCATATGGACCATCTACAGTACTATGCGGGAGCAATCCCTTGTAAAAGAAAAGGTGTTAGGCTTACTACTCTGCATTTTCACGTGTTTCACTTTTTTACATCAGGTTTTTTGGTCCAACAAAAATTGATTCGGTCCTGTGTGTTCATTGATTACACAGGACCCAATGTCCTGTGTGGTCCAAAAAACTTTCGCATAGACTGGACATCAGTGTTACTTGGTTGCTTTATTTAAAAAAGTCCACGCAAAAAAAAAAATTAAAAATATGCCGACCAGTACCTACCGGAACTCTAAATTTTTCAAGCATGAACATGATAAAAGTGGAAACAAAGCAGGTTTAACCAATCATTTTTCTTGGCTTTACTTACTAAATTATTTTCTTTGATAATTGGCTAGATTTCACATTAGTAAGCAAGTAAATTGTATTTTATACATGTAGTGATATATTACAGTATGAAGAAAAACATAAAAATATATGTAATCAGTCAATTAGACCTATGTGTCACTTTTAGACAAATACATGTATATCATAGTTGATACCCATGACAAGTTTTAGATAAAGTTGAAAGTACCATATGTAGTGATGTAATGATTAATCGATTAAATCAATTATCTAATCGAAATGGTCCCTGATTATAGATAATCGATTACTCAAAATATTAGTTAAAAGCAAATTATTCCTTTAATTTTTTTATTCATTCTTCTTTGAATTTAACTAAATCCTAAATAATAATCTAATAAATGAATCCAATGATACAAACTATTTCAAAAATGTATTTTGGAAATCACTCCAGAATTTCTAAACAATTTATTCTACTTTTGAAATTGAAGAAATATAATATTTGAAATTAATCAATTTTTTTTTCGATTATAGTGCATTCCATTATTCCAATAATCAATTATGAAAAAAATCCCAATTTCCCATCACTAACCATATGCAAGAATTGTAACTGTTTGATAAATACTAACTGGTATATTAGGTTTGACATTAAATATTATGAATTATACATAAATACAAACATACTTAATTATTGTTTATTTATAGTATCATAGGGACATACAACTTGTATGTTTCATAGTTATTAACTTATTAAACATTTCATGTTTGAAATAAAGCCAACAGGTTTAAGTATGTGAAATCACTAACTGCCCATATGCATGTAACAAGTTTATTGATGCAGACCTCTAGTAAAAAAAAAAAAGGGGGGGGGGTGCAACTGACATCTTAATGAAAATTTACTCTATAGCCAAATACTATTCTCAGAAAAAAGTTAGGAGGACAGACCCCCCCCCCCCCCCCCCCAACACACACAACCATTCTGTAGGCCTGTATTGACTAGATAAGGTGGACAAGATCATTTGATTGTTATAAAAATGAAAATTATTTTATCACCTGAACTAATAACTAAAACAAGATTATTGTTTCTTACAGAGAATTGGAACATCATGATCATATCAGCAATGAGACGAGAAAAGTTTTAAACTTTTTCCACAAAGAACAATCAATAAACAGGCAGACAAAATTCCAGGTCTAAAAATAAATGGAATGAAGGTGTACAATAACAAGTGAACATAGAAGTTTCTCTTGTAACAATCAGAATTAGACTAAGGTTTTGAGTAACGACAAGAAAAGTGTAGTCACTGGATACACTATCATTTCCTATGATTCCCAGTATTATCGAATGCAGTTTAAAACTGGCATTGCCAACAAATTCGATATGGAGTTATTGATGGAAGATGTGAATTGAAAACTGTGTGTGACTCGTTATAAAAAGTAAAGTGGATTCTATCTCAGAATGCAGACTTTTTCAGTTGAAAGACCCCAGAGTTTTATATGAAAAGAGTCATATATCTTCAGTCTGTTTGAAATGTCCATGACATCAGTTGTGGATACATTATTGGTGTTATCAGAATTTGCCATGTCTGTAGCATCATTTTTAGATACAATGTCAGTGTTTGGTACTAAATGTAATAAGTTTTCATTAATTCAAATTTGGTCAAATTACAAATTATTTTTCTTTTTTTTTTAATTGTAGATAGAGCAAATAAGTTTTCAATATGTTAATATATTTTGATTCTCATGAATTTTGCAATATTAAATACATTTCATTATAAAAATTATTTCATTACCTTATCATTGTATGAACAGATGCTAAATACACTGCATGTTAAAAAAAAGAGTAGAACCTGGGAAATTCATCTTCCTTATTTTTAACAAGGTTTTCCATTGGAAAAATGATGAAAATGGCACACAAGGACTGCTAATGACCCAAATGCGTGCCATGACCTTGACTCAAGATCCTTTGATCAAGTTAAATGTCATTTTAAGAAAAACATTGAATTCCTGTATTTTGTATGGAGAACATGAGATGCTCATACTGATCATAAATATTGCATATAACCTAAGGTTACATGTATGTATTGAGTAACTGACCTTGACTCAAGGTCATTCCAGCAAGTTCAAGGCTTCTGGCAGAAAAGGTGTGTTATTTGTACCTGGTCTATTACTCTCATATGGAGGCTAATTGGTAGTTGATACTTGACACAAAAATTGCTTATGACTCAAATCTGTGTCATAATCTGACCCAATGTCATGAATGTATAATCTCCTACAACTTTCTTGTATTAATAATCTCCCGTCCCTCATGCATATGGTTACATTGAGGAGGTAATAAGCTGCCTCACGTCATGTACTGTAAGTTTTTATCTTCATTTATAAGCTCCTGTCAGTGTGCGAGAGTTATGTCAGGTGCAGTATTACAAAGCTGCTCAAGCCCGTAGAATGCTGGGGGGACCTACTTTTCCCGAGTATAGTAGTTTGCTATAGTGATTGGTGATTGCCCCCCCCCCCCCAACGTTGCTACAAGGTCAAGCACTGTCAATTTCCACGAAATGGACATTTAATTAGTTTGGTTTCTTTTTTTTTTTTGCCCATCAGATTATTTTGGGAAGTTGCCCCTCCCCCTATTTTTGGTGAGTTTAGTTTTTTTTTTTTTTGCTTGACAGATTTTTTGGGGGGGAAGGTGCCCCCCCCCCCCACTTTTGAAACCAATGCTACAAGCCTACTGCTTGACTTGTAAACTTATGATACTTATTATTAGAGAAACAAAGGTTATTTTAACCATAAAAAGAAAACTAGAAAAAGATATTTAAGATAAATAGTTTAAAACCCTTCAAATTATAAAACATAAGTTCATCTATTTTAGTGAAGGACTATTTTTGTACTTCGTGGTTCTAGCTCTTAAAATTTTATCTGATTTTGTTAAATATTGCTGTTACTCTACACCATATTGTACACATGCATAGCAAAGTACAGTGTAGTATATTGTGGTGGTGTCACTATTTTCCCTAGCTTCAACAGCATGTATGATGGTTTAGTCAGACTTGTAGCAACAGTTTCAAAAAAAAGGGGGGGGGCAACTTCCCAAAAAAATCTGATAAAGGGAAAAAAGACCAAAAAAAGAGGGCAATATTTCTCAAAAATCTGACAAGCAAATATAAAAAAAAAACACCTAATTTCACTATCCAAATCCTGGAATTTGCTAGTGCTCGACATTGGAGACTAGCATCTAAGGGAAAATTTACTACAACAATATACTTTACTCAGACCCCCCCCCCCCCCCCCCCCCCCGCATTCTACGGACCTGGGTTTTATAGCTGGTTAGTTAATAGTTACTGAATCATATCTAATCTTTCAATATTGCTGAAGATGGAAAATATTCATTCAAGACAAAGATTTATTATTAATTAAAATTAAACATGGAGACATAGAACGAATGTACAATAAGCCTCGAGCATTCTGTCTTCGTCAATTCACTTTATTTCATCCGTTCCACTAAAACGTTAGAAATTATAAGCCGGAGTTTCAAATTCTATTTTTGTTTTTGTTCAAAACAATTCATAGATAATTGTAAACACCTCCTCCAAGTCTACTTTCAACTTTGATTCCGATTCGGCATTTTGTATACGAGTTGCAAACTGGAAGTGACGTGTACACGATAATGTACAAAACCAAACCGGGAAATCGGAAGATTTTCGGATTGTTCGGCAAAAATCTGGTGAAAAGCATTGCCCGCCGTGTCACAAGAGAAAAATAATAACTATAATAAAAATTTGAGTTTAAAACGACAAAATCAGGAGAGTTAGAAACTATAAGCAAGTAAATAAATTGCAATCTCATTATTTTAACGTTTTATAACAGCTTTTTGAGCAGAGGAAATTCGGGTCAGGAAATTCGGGAGCACATTACTCCAAAACTACACACTAACATTATAATTTTTTATTAGCAATTTGTAAAGCAAGCAAATCACTATAAATATAGCATAAGATATCAAACTTTTAATTATTCTTTCATTATTAAAAAATACGTTGTACATGTACATGAACCCATTTTCCCAATAAATTGTCATGATATAAATGAATCAAAATTAATTTGTCTTTTTGGTTTTTTTCTTGCACTATTTTGTTTTGAAATTAAAATTTCAATATTGTAGATGACATCTTTTTCAAAAAAAAAATTTTTATATCGTTTTTATTGTTGTTCTCAATTTTTTAAAAATTGGTTATAAAAATATCACTTTATCATACAGAGTTACCCCCCTTATTTGAGTGCGTCATAATTTTTGATTTACTCACTAGAACCTTTTCTTATAATATTTTATGAAATATATAAAGGTACTTCTTTCATTTTATGTGGATGTTTCAGAGTTTTAATTACTCTGAAATTAGGACTTGTCAGTACCATACTCCCTTAAGAAGGGAATCAATTATCGTAATAATATTCTTCTTTGAGCCCATTTATAGAAATCACAGATATATGATACTGATGTTTCAATTCTTAAACACAGACAATAATACTGTTATATTATTATAAAGCTAGTGTTTCTGCTTTTACATAAAATCACCCACCTGAACAAGTTTGTGAACTACTTGTGGCCATCCATTGCTAGCAGCTAACTGTAATGCTGTACACCCTATTAAAGAAAAGAAAATACAGGATACAACATTGAAGTAAGTTTCCATTGAAAATTATCAACATCAATTCTGCAATGATCCTATCCAATCACAATTTCATCTTTTAAAAATTATATACAGTTGAACTTCTATATCTCCAAAATTGATATCTCAAATACAATGGATATGTTGAAGTGATTTGGAAGACCGATCCCTTATAATTTAAGTATTTTATCCTTGATATCATGAATCATAGGGTATCTCATTTTTTCTCATTCCCATCGAGTTCAAGATAACGAGGTCTGAATGTACTTTGTTTGAATCTTCAAAACAGATATTTTAAAATCAAATCAAGTCAGAACATAGAGTGAAATTACTCATGCTACAAAAAGAAAAAAAAAATATTTAAAAGAAGTTTTACTTTTCCTTCTGCTATTACTTAACTAGAAATTTAATTATACTACGAATTATAAACTTTAATCATTGTTTAAAGATATATGGAAAGCATTCTAGATTAAGCAAGTTTTTAATATCAAAATCTACTTTAATAAATTTTAAAGAAGCTTACAAAAATCCATATACTTAACACATTTTACACAATTTTCCCTTAAAAAAAAGGTGAAAAATGGCTTAAAAATACAGTTCCAGTACCATAATCTAGCACAATAACAAATTTCCTAATAAATCACCTTTTTAATACTGCACCTAATGCACTTTGCCCATGACCAATATTTTATACAATCAGTAAATAATCATGTATTGTCAAGTAGAATTCTGCTAATGGAAATCACGATAAATAAATATTCTACGACCCTTTACTGTTCGGAAATGAGGGAGACATTGATTTTCAATTGTTTTGATGGACTGAAATCACTATATAAAAGCATTAATATCTAACTTCACCCCAAAGGCACAGACTATAAAACCATGATATACATTTTTCGTTCTTTTTTTCTGCACTATGGTACACCAAATTGAAGCAATTTACATATTTTGCAGATCATAAATGTATCAACTAAATATCTTAAACATCTACTTTGCATTAACTTTTTAATCCCTCAAACCCCTGATACCAAAACTAATGCCATCCATGAAAAAAATGTTCCAAAGAACTCAGTTCAGGGAAAAAAACAGTCCCTTTTAATAATCTCTCCTTAAAGATAGCTTTTTTTCTGACCTAGAAACTGAAACACCCTACAGCAAAACTGCATGGCCTTATCATTTGGAAGCAATATGCTAAAAGATTAAATCATTTTTGACATGGCATCAAAAACCTACTTTCGAATGTTTAAGATAGAACAAATCTCATTAAAATTGAATTAAGATATGTGTATCTATTTTCTTTGACAGGACCATACTATTTTGTAATTCACTAGCAAGTTTTAACTCTCAAGATTGAAAGGCACTTATCAGTTTGGGAATGAAACCAACATTAGAGCATTTAAAGCATGAAAATATTGATCTAATCTTGCATTGTTCGCATGACAGTTACAAATTCATATGGCAAACATATCCCCGTTATACCCTGATCTGAACATGAAATGTAAAAGTTCTATTAGATTAGACTCGATTCAGTATTCCGTACCCAGGAAATCTACACTGCAGGTGGCAAAAAAACAAACACAACATTGAAAGCAAACACAAATTTCTTTACAATCACATATGGATTTTGAACTTTTCTACTTTATGCATGACAAATAAACCCCCAATATCTACTTAAAAAATATAATTAAACAGCTTTAATAAGCAAAAATATAATTCTAATGGAAAAAAAAACTTAGGGTTTAAATGACTATTCATAATCAACCAGTAAAATTATTAGTAGTATTTTACACAGTCTATTCTAAGCGACGTCTTTTGACTACTATAAGTTCATATAAAGAATATCCATCTAACCAGGCCACTGAAACATTACTTGGAAAACGATTCACCTGTAATAACCAGATCATTTAACAGATTTTTCTAAGATTAATTACTGGTTATTACTTTGTCTTTAACAGACAGAGTGGATTTTACATTTCATTATAATTACTATTTCAAATTTCAGTGATAATAAATCATACATAGTTGTATGGTACATGTATTCTCTCTTCATGCATTAGTAATCATTTCAGATCTGATCTTTTGGTAAGCAGCTAAATTATTCAGCCATTTTTTACAAGAGAATATATTTGACTGTAGTAATTTGTACACTGTCACTACCTTGTATGGTGAGTACATTAGGTTCTGCTCCATACTGCAACAACTGGTCCACGATCTTTATCTGACCTGATGCACATGCTACATGGAATCTGTAAACGAGAAATTAAAAATGAAATCTACAAAAAAAAAAATGTACATTATCACTTTCAACAGGAAGATAATTTTCTCTTTTTTTCTGGATGCTGGATTTTGCTCAATTTACCAGAATTATAATCTTTTGGCATTGGGTTTTAATAAAATGTTATTTGTTTCCAATTTGCAACTCCTGTTGACCTGTACATGGGTGAATTGGTTATAAGTAATTATATTACTTCTCTGTCCAATATTACTGGTTGTCTCATACCACATTTTTCATTAAAAAAATTACTTTTAGAAGCAGGAGCTGTTGCAAAGTGGGAAAACAAATAAAATTTTAATTTAGGCCTTGACCGGACAAGAGTTTTCGTTTCACAAACAATATTATGGTTGATTTTTCCAGCAATTAAGGTCTTCATTCAATGAAAGAATTTAATTATCTCCAATGACAAGTGCCCTTACAGACAATATCTAAAATATTCAAAAACTTAAGACATTTGACCTTCATTGTTTAGAAAAATTGTTAATAATAAATAGTGAAAATATGTTTTTGATTTTTATTTGGGTCATAAAGCTCTTCCGAAATCTATATATGTCATCTCATCAAGACATCAAGTGGAGACAGAGCAATGCTTCTGATAGAATGTTATCACATCCACATCAGGCTTAATAAGAAGCAGGTGATAACACTACACTTCTTCATGTCATAACAGGGTGGTTATAGGGCACTGATGGATGAATTGTCTGTGTAGTAAGTCTACAAAACTCATCATCACACTAGGAACCAAGGCAGTGACCCACAAACTTACATGTCTACTGACTGCCCAATAACAACAGTCACCAAGTTTTTTCCCCCCTCCAAAATACCAAAAAAATTCCGTATCATAAAACTCGCATAATACCTCTCATCTCTTTGTGTGGTGCATGGAATGAAATAAGTTTTATTAACAGGGAGCATGACACCATTCTGAAGAGGAGCCATGATTCTGTGAAATGCTTGATAGCAACATCATAATCTAAATTGTCAGACAACACCATTTGACCTTAGTTCCCGATCATGCCACACAAGCATGTCTTGTTTTCATCAACAACCCAATAATTAAATGTACCTATTTCACATTCCCTGCTTTAGAATAAACACAGATGCTTATAACAGATCTTTGACCAAACAAATACAAAACAGATGAATTGTAGGTCAGGAGTATTTTCTACACTTGAGATTCCTTGGGAACACAAGGGACAATAATAAAAATTTCTTGATGTATTTCCTAAGAAAAAAAGTACCTTTTTTTTAACAAATTCCCATATATGTTCTTTCAAAATGAAAGCCCCACTGTGAACTTTACTTGCATTGCAGAATCAAGAATTTAGAAACTTAAGTTAAAAATGTGTATAAAGGTCAAAGATCACAAAATTTTGGCATGATTAAAATCAGGGTTTTTTAATCAGATGACATAGGTCAAGGTCAAATCAGCTGAAATGCTCGACAAATTAGAAGTTGATTATTGATTACCAGTTAATCTTATGGTTCACTTCACTTAAGTTCTATATAATTAAACCAATAAGAGAATCGAACAGCTCATTATTCTTGGTCCATCTATGACTGAATAATGGAGATCTAGCTAAAAATTCAAGCATCAAGCATTTAAACAACTAAGCCCTGATTAACAATCAACTAAATAAATTATCCTTTCAAAAAATGCAACAATGACGCTGTTTTCCCTTGGAATTGGAAACTGTTATTTGATGATTGAATGACTTTTGACTATAGCTCACACAGACAATCCCCGGGGTCCCAGCTTGGTGGGGACGAGGGTCTTCTTCTGTAGGAGGGACTGTACTTTGTCCACATCTCCCACCTCTATAGCCTTTAGCAGTTTTTCATCATTCTTGTTCCACTCGGATAACTGAAAATAGAAAATATTAGCAAGCTCAACTCCCAGTGCTAATAGAGGAAGGAAATGATGGATAGTTAATTACAAAGGAAAATTTGAACTGAGTATGACTAGTATGATTTTCAGCATGCAACCTAGTGATATGATTAGTGTTAGAATACAAAATTGTGTAAACTAAAATTTTTCTCACTCATCTTAAATCATATTTTGCAACCAATATATGTTTTTATCAGCCTAAGCACATAAAAAATTCTGTGGTCAGAATTTATCAAATATAATGCCCAACAGTCTTGAGATGGAATTAGCTGATCTCCCCTTTGGAGTATGTAAAGGGAGGAAATGAATTATGATAAGCAAAATGTCTGACTGGCACCAACAGACAACAGCACAAGCACACCCCTCCATAAAACACAAGGCCTATCTGATAAAGCACTATCTTTTTTTTTCTTCCCTCCTTTATCTCGATTCCTACAACCTGCTACTTCCTGGCATTGTATGTGATAATTACTTTGTACTAGCATCCATTCATAACAAGGAAATTTATTTCATTCACTTGAGTATTTATATAGCAGAAAAACATGCTATTGTAGGTAGAATTTCATTCAAGAACTTTCATGTTCAACAGAGTTTGTCTTGTTTTTTTCACTGATGCAATGCACGATAGTATGTGTAAAAGATCATGCATTCCTAATGTATTGTTTATGTCCGTCTACAGTCATCTTTATCAAGTGCAATATTCCTGGCTTCTGCTTACAAAACTTATACTCAATGTAATATATTAATGTCATTTCATCTTAATGTAATAAAAAGTCTACCAAACAGATGCTCCCTCCCTGAAACCTGAACATGCATCTTGACACAGAAAGATTAAACTATCTGTTTTATCTATCAGAGATAGTGAGTCTGTAGCAGTCAAACTAGCACCTCCCTGGCCAACATCCCAACCAAAAACATGGGATTTATCATATCAATATTGTGAAGTAAGACAATTTCTGAAAATCTTTCCTTTTTCTTTGTGTCTGAGAAAACAACAAAATATTATCTCAAAATTATGACAGTATTGATATAATTTGTAATCATCTCATACACTGATATTGGAATGCAATAAAGACTGCCTCAAACAACACTTCCAATAACATTTTTTACAAACTCCACTCACTTCATAACAACATAATGATCTACACTGGGGCTTGTCAAATCAGTAATTTCTTTGTTTCTCTACCCCTGCTGATTTCCCATTTACACCAAGATAGAGTTCTAATTGTTATGAGATTTACATCACTTTTTTCCTCCTGTTTTTTCATTACTAGCTCAGAATTCTGTTTGATGTGTAGCAGGAACTAACTTTTGTAATTAAATTTTAATTAGTAGCACAACGTGAAATTGAGTTCATAGATCTTGAAATAAATATACTGTGACTCTTATTACACGAGACCTAAAACGTTCACTTTATCTTTCATGAAGATAATCATAATTTAATTCTTAAAGCTTTGCTTATATTTTCCCTGGACACATAGAACTTTTCCCTTTTCTTTATCTTTTTTATTCCTTTCCTTTCTTTTCTTTCTATCCATTTTTTTGAATGGCTTAAGAACTGAGTTTTTTTCTTTCCAGCTCAGAAACATTTAACATTACAGAGTATCCTCTGGGGGTACAATAAAAAAAGTTACACTGATTATTAAATATTTTTTAATTGTCTTTTTTAAAAAAAAAAAAAAAAAAAATCATTTTCACTTCTCTGCAAAGAGTCCGAAGACCTAGTGATGGGACATCAGTTAATTTTCATAATCGATCATCAATTGGAATCGGTTACTGCTTCCGATGCGATTTTCGGATTATAATTGGATGTCATAGTTCTGTATATATAAAAAGCAGACTATTACAAGTATTTCATATTATTTCTTTTAAAATATATGAAATATATATTATATTGTTTTCTTTGCTGTTTTGCTTCTTTTACACTTTCTATGTATGCACCTTTTGGTTCTTAATCACCTCTGCTTTGTGCTAGGTGGCTTTGTAACACATAAGTATGGTGCAGACGCCATTTTCTTTCATTACGAAGAAATGAATTTAAACCGGGCATGGATGATTCCGGAATGCATTTTATAAGAAGTACATTTCTGATGATTGATTATGAAAAATAATAATCAATTATTGGAATCGGTAGCATTTTTTCGTCGACAATCAATGTTCTCTGATTATATATCGGTACAACACTTGTAGGATGGTGGACCCCTTTAAAACTTCAGGAAATGGAAAATATGAATACTTACATCTGTTGTGCTTTTCCGAAACTTGAACAACCCAAGCTTTTTACTCTTGTTTTTGGCAATTAACTTTGACATGTCTGGTGTCTCACAAAATCACATTGTCCAAGATGTTACATCTACAAAAAGAAGGCAAAAATATCAAGCACTTTATTCAGATTACTTTGCAAAAAGCAAGATAAATTACTTAAAGTTTGCTTAATTTGCATTTAACTCTTGAGTAAACAATTTAGAATTATATTTATTATTTACTACCTCCCTCATACACATTCCAGCATACAAATGCACAAATTAATTACTCATTTTCTTTTTAATTAATGCAGCAGACAACTTGTGTCATATTGCTAATGTGAAGACACCTGGATGTATTTTCAATACTATATTCATTCTAATACATGTATAGGCATACATACTATGTATGCTCCTCTAAGACATTTTTACCCCCACCCCCTTTCAGGCTCAGTGAATATTGTTCTCCTTGGGTAGTTTTATCACTGTATGTATCTCAAAGACAGCAATAATTGTATAATGTCCCCAGTGCAAAGCTGGGCATAAACAAGAAAAAAAAAATTATTTATATAAAGAACTCAAAATTAAAAATAAAAAAAAGGAAAACTGAAGAAGAAAGAAATTGAAATTAGGTAAATGTGATACAGTGAAAACTGTCTAATCTGACACCTGTGCAATCTGTCACACTGTGAATTGCGATGTTAATTTTTTCCCTCCAGTTTTACTATTTTTCATGATTTTTTACCCTGTGCAATCCGACACCCTGTCAATCTCAACATAAAATTCATCTCCCAGTGTATGTCGGATAAGACAGGTTTCACTGTATTAATTTTTATCTCTGTCTAGAAGCATGAATATATGTATTTGCTTGGATAAGTAAAGTAATCAATTTAACAGTCTGTTCGACCTTTTTTTTTTTCATTTTAAATTTCTTCTGTCTTTATCTGACATAACCGAGGAAAGAGTAGGGGTGGGAGGTGGAGAGGGATTTGAAGCCCATCAAATTGTGTCCTTCATGGCAGAAATTATGTTTTTATATTTGAGTGTAAAAATCTTTTTTCCCTATGTTCTACCTTTATATATATGCAAACTCAAGGACAAATCCCAAACATGAATAATTCATGTAAAATTAACATTTTTCATAGACCATCACTGAATGAAACATTCCAAATGGAACATTTTTATACCGACCGGTTCATAATTTAAGAATCTTAACTTTATGACAAATCCATTAACTCTCTGCATGTGCATGAATAATGACAAATGCATGGATAGCAGTATATGGTCCTATCATTTGTTAATGAGCATTCAGAATGTAAAAAGCTTCTGCCAAAGAAGACATCTCTGTCTCCATCATAATGATTGAGCATTTGTCCTGGTGGTTCAGTTTTATGTAAAAATGTCACCTTGTCCTATCACCTATATAACAACCACTTACATGGTCATTTCTACAGTCAACTTATGTCTTTCCAAACCAGAGATATATATAAAGCAACTCCATTAATGTCAAGTTGATGGCATATTTCTATGATATGTTTCAAAAACATGATTACAGTCATTAGAATCTTTGCCACATTCTGCAAATTTAATATCCTTCATATACTGGTATTTTTTTTCTTCTACATTGCTCTTAGTTATTTTTTTAGGAGGGGTCCAACAATCTAAATTGTCAAATAATTATTCCATGTTATCTATATATGATTACTGTAAGTTGTCTTAATCCCATGGTGCTAACATTTCACTATTTGTTACAAGGGTACTATTATATAAATATTGCATGTAGTTGAGTGTTGCGCCTCGGTTGACAATGGTTTTCTTGGGGTGAAAATTTTCAATGTTGCACACAACTACATGCAATATTTAATACATTATACTGAATGTTTTATACAAATACATATAACAGCGAACCTTGCGCGCATAAATTCTGCGCAGTCACTATTTTTTGGAATATCACCCGTCGTCAAGCAATGTTGACTGTTGCTATGCTCGAGGGCGTGGCTTCATCATTCAGCGGGTAATAGTGTTTTTTAACAAATGTTTCTCGACGAATCAGATTCAACTAATTAACATGAAAGTATAATATTATAGTTTTTTTTCAGGCTTATGGGTATGCATGTGCATTAATTGACAGACACTTTATTATGTGATCTTGCCACCTTTAATATTCACTTTGGTTTTAATTTTGCTGGAAAGTGATAAAATGTGAATAAAGTGAAAATAAAACAATCATTTTAAATTCCAAGTCTACAGAGTATCCAAGAAATTTGACATAATTTTTAATATAAATTGTACAATTATAACCTTTGATCTGGTCAATATGCCTTATTATAGCTATCTGTACAAATAAAGACTTATAAAGAAGAAGATGAAAATCAAATAGTAGAAGAAAATCATCTAAAAAATAATGACCCTTATGATGTATCTATTAAAATCATCATTTAAACATATAATAATGACAACACACTAACAAATTGAATCTTATCAGAAATAATGACCTAGCTAGAATATGAAAGTCAACATACTAGAATACTGAGATCAGTCATTGTCAATAAAATATTTTATTTTGTTTTTCAAAGTAAGACTGGCATAAAAAAAACCCAACTACCTAATATTTCAAAAATATTCTGCAACTTACTTGTGGGATATTTCTTGTTTTGTGTTATGTTATTTTTTAATTCATAAAATGAACTGAGTATGAAATATTAATTCAAACTTTTATAAGACATATATCACTATAGACATAATGGGAACCATGTAAGGATAATTAGACCTTACCAATTGATAATCTGAATGGATGTTTGATACACAAATCATAACAAATTGCTACTTTAAAAGCAAATGTAGAGAAATAATTTTGTCAATTAATAAACAATGCAATTAGCTGACCCTACTGAATGTAATATTCCCTTAATTACAATGTTAGTGTAGCTTCTGAAAGTTCACCACACTAGTCTCCTTGCTGGTTTTGCAAAACCTCAAAAGAAATGGTTCTACAATTTGCATACATGTATAAATGCTCAAGTCTATAATATCAATCATGGAAGTCTGCTGACTGAATCAAATAAGAATTAATTAATCATGATAAATTGTATTCTATGTAAATGTAACTATACATAAACAATTAAATTACTTCCTTACCTCACTGGTTCAGTTCATGTAAAATTTTAATATTAGGGGTCCCACAGAGCCTCTTCAATTTGAATATAACAAGCTTACTTCTCCAAATTCATCATTAATAATATTACATAAATCCACTAAGCCTAGTCTTAAGTTTGCTGAAGTGTTCAATATAACACTTTTTCACATGAAAAAAAAAAACACCACAAAACAAGTCAAACAAAACAGGAAAAAAAATAACAGTGCTGGAATGCCGAGCAAATAGCCCCAAGTTGTGGTCAACAAGATATGTACAACAATTAAGAGACTTTCTCTAGTCAGGTGAGAAATTGTACAAAGAAATTACCACAGGTAAATAATCGCTGAGCCATCAGCACAGGTACAACCGTCAATATTTATTGGGCTTATCTGTGTAAGAAATGTCAATAGATTTTACTGCTGCATGGAGATGCCAAGGACAGGCTTAAGAAAGCTATCAAAGAGAACCCCCTCCCCCGATGCACAAAAACTTTGCTTTCATCCTGACTTGTAATTTTTTTTGTATTATTTCATTATAGAGGTGTCAAACAAATCAAATTCAGGTTGGCTTTTGTGTGTGTAAATTTATTTAAAAAATATTTTATGTGCATTGAAATAAGAATATCTCGCTACAACACTATGACATATCCTACACCAGTGACCAGATTGATGCACATGCAGGTACACTGACTTCATATTTATTACTATGCTCACCTATCTTGAAAAACAATAACCTTATCTTTATGCTTGATTTTAAATTCAGGAAAGAATGGACAATGTTCATGAATTGTGATTTCACATCAGCCTTTAATATATTTCAAACTCTCTTAATAGTTCAAATATGAATATCACTGCCATGCATTGCATATATCAATTATCTAAAGCACTCATTTATTTAACCATAAAAAAATCCATTAAATGTTCTGTAGGAATTTAAATATGACCTAGTTGTGGTATATGGAGATTTTAATTTGTTGCATTCCATTGACTGACAATGACATACTTCATAGCTGCATGAGCAAAAGGATCTATTATAATATGAGAAGGCACCTATAGTCTACAAATTAATACTGTATTCTGGGTTTAAAAACAAACAAGTATCAATATCAACAAACCTTTCATAAGAAAAAAAATCATTATATACATATAGATATATTTGAGCATATGTGCAACACATAGCAGCATTTTATACTGGAACATAATTTAAATTACTGGTCAGGGATAGATACAAGCATTGTCAAAATATTTTCATTTATGAAGATTCAAAATTATAAAAGAAATCATACAAATTCTTAACATATCCTCATTCATAAATGACTCATTTCTCTATGTCTTTCCATTCCATTCACTGCTTCTTTCATTACTGTGTCTTATAAAAGGAACATTTTCCAGACATAATCCTACAAAAACCTTGTACATTTTTCTCCACCCTGCTAACCCTTAAACATTAATTTAAAAAAAAAAATAAATTTGAATTTACATCATCATTTTCATATTAATATCATTTTTTTTTTCAATTTCTGATTTGTGTACTCTTATTGCAGTTCTTTGTTTCCCTTGTAATATCATGGATCTATTTAGTATTGCCAATCCCTGGTTATATGATCTGGCCCTTTATGCAGAGAGATTTAACTTTCTTGGCCTAACAACATGCTTTTGCGTAAATCTGTCTGTAAACGGTACAGCAGTTGGAACCACATAAAATAAAATATACTTGATGCATAAACATAACTCTGACATGGAAGGTTCGCTTTTGAAACTCACATTTTGCACTCTGCCTTTTGACCAGTCAAATTTCATTAAAGATATGTGCATGTTTCAAAGACAGTTTTGTCTTACAGTGTCTTACTCAGAGCAGTTGCTAGGAGTTTACTTATGTTGGGATTACCTATACATAATATGAACGCTTTAAGCATTTAGTCAATGCTTTTGAATATTTGGCACTGATCACATTTTCTCTGATATTGTGAGGGATCATGTGTGTATTGGTGTTCAGAGGGAGTTGTCTCTCCTATCGTTTCCCCATACCTGTCATGCAGGTAAAAGTCATTGAAACAAAAAACAAACTTGTTAAAAAAGCAAGTTACTAAAGAACTTACCTTTCATTATCTTCAAGGTACAAGTACCCTCTACATGCCCCAAGAACTCAAGAAACTTGTAGCGAAACCCACCAAACTACGAAAACACTTGTTATATGCTGCGCATGCTTAACCTTTACTTCCTTTTCCGCCGTTTGGTGGTGAAATATGGAATGTCTAAAAAATGATAAAAACATTGAAGTCCTTCTACCAGAACATGGAGGTGTTAAGCATTTCAGTACTACTGCAGACTATTTTATCAATAATCTTTAATCGTAAAACTTTACATATTTTCTTCCATACACAAGGAACTTTCGACAAACTATTAAAAATAATCAGGAATTTCAGATTTGGGTATGATCCCCAAAAACGTCACTTCCTCACTGTGTAAAATCGAAGCCGAAAGACGATATTCCATCAGTTAGTGCTGAAAATCCACAATGGATGGACAGTTGAATTGGATATTTTAAAAGTACTTTTTTCGAAAATGGAATACGGTTGAATTCAAAATGATTTGGAATTTCGTTTGTTTAGGAATATTTATAGAAATTTAAAAGTATTCTGATATTATTTTCAACGGTTTAGAAACTGATTGGTGCTGATACTGGACGACCCATCGACCATTCCAAATAATCTAGCCATGAGGATTCATGGCAGATTCATTATTCAAATATCAGTTCTAGGTTTCGTCCTGATTAACTATGTTTGTTCAAACAAATACACAAATACATGGGCTTTATATATTGAAGGAGGAGAAGCAGTTGCAAGATCTTTGGCTCAAAAGCATGGTTTTATTTATGTGGACCAGGTAAGAAAAACAATATTCAACAAATACGTATAAGTTGGGTACTCTTAACTGTACTGCCTTTTTCTCATTCTAGCAAAATGTTATTTAGAATTCTTAATGTGTTATTGTAATTGTTAATGCCCTTCTAGACATTTGACTTATTCTAATGTCATTGTGAATTTCAATACACTTGTATGAATTTGGTAATAATACATATATAATTTACGTGTTCACTGTCTATGTTATGTTGGGTAGCAAATATAACTGCAGTATTACCTTTTTGTGGTAAGGTATAAATTTTGAAATTCTTGCAGGGTAATAAAATACATATTTTTTGATAGTAATTCTGGGTCATCTTTTCTTTGAGTGGAAGTTGAGAGAATTCAACATACTCTAATGTTTCATAAAATGTACTTGTATGTATACATGTGCCTGTTTTGAAGAATCTAAGAATTTCCATGGAAACTCAATGTAGAGATAAGCAATGAATTTGGAAGTTTCAGAGAATCTTTTACTGATAAAAGCTCCCATCTTCTCAACCACTATATTGCCTGGAGATTTTCTATTACAGATACTTTGGCTACACAGTTATAGATAAAGGCTTAATTGCCTGTGCATTATCAAAGAGGCTTTATTGAATTTCCCTCATCTCAAATCTTCTCTACATATATTTCCTTAATATAGATTATTTCAAGAGAAACATTATTCTGAAAGAATCTACTTTATATCATTGTTCACTGATTTTTAATGATTGGAACTTTAACTTGATGCAATGTATGCGTCTTCAGTGTTTTCCCTAAGTAAGAACCGGCTACCAGCCAAATTGACCGCTTCTATTGATAAAAATGCCGCTTTGAAATTTAAAAAAAAAAAAATCAAGATTTAATTGATGTAAGGTTCACGGATATTTGTCATAAACCTCAACCCAAAGCCTGTTACAATTGATCTCTAACCCTTTACTTTGAAATGTAGGGAAAACACTTCATCTTAATTGATAGATGGATTTTATTTATTAATAAAAAATTTTGAATTACATTGATCATTTATGTGCACAGAATCTGTTCAACAGATAAAGATGTTGTAATATGCATTATAAATTCACAGTCAGAATCTTCATTGAATATTCAGCCTTTAGCATGAGGGATATTTATTGCATGTTAAAATTACCAAAAAAGTATGCAAACAATTTCTCATTTATAATTCACAAAGAATCCATATCATAGTTTGGTGTGGGAATGATATAAATATTTCATGGCCCAATATCTATGTACAGATTCTTGAGTTTAAATCCTATGGAAAAATCACAGTTATGCTTTCCCAGCTCCTCTAGTTAGATCTGTTTTATATATTATGTTTTTTGTGTTGGTTAAGAAAGCACACACATTTTATACATAATTTTTTCCCCTTCATATATGTATTTAATCACTTATAGAAAATTTATTTCATTAATGAAGAGATTACTAGATCATAGTCATATGGTATACATGCTTTAAGGAGAAACCAATCAAATAGTGAAAAATAGTACATATAAGTCTAATCAGATGTATATTTTGTCTTCTTTTACAAATCATTTACAGCAATAAAATAGTGATGATTACATGTAATAATTAAATAAGATCTTCAAAGTTTTAATAATTATTGACAGAATGCTAAAGGTATTTACATATTCTGGCACAAGAAAAATTTGGGCATCAATACTCATGGAACCAAACACCTGGATTCTGAATCAAATTTGAATCCAATTTGCCAGGTGAATAAGAAAAAGCCTGGACTTTCCTACAAGAAAAACTAATTAAAGAGTAACTTTTTTGTGTGTTTTCTACAGAGGAAAAGTACACTGACATGTTTGTAGAGTGGTAGGATTCCTGTAACAATGGCACATAAACAAGTTTTCGTTTCTCTTATGAATGCATGTAAAACAGATGGTTTGGAAAGCAATAACTTAAAATAGGAATGTTGTATTCTTTGTACATGTTGTATTTGAATATTGAAAACATTTGCTGTTTCTACAATAATTATACATGTACTGCAGACAAATATATTGTAACTATCCTAGCATGTTCTTAAATATTTAATATTTAATATGGTAAAAGTATCCCAGTACATGTATTATAACTCAAAAAAAAAAAAAACCAAAAAAAAAAAAAAACCCCTTGACTAATGCTTATGATGAAATTAATTAATTAATGTTTATATACTAGTATATATATAAGGATGGCATTTATCTTGATTAGAGAAAGACACTCATGGTTAAATCTGACTCCAGTATTTGAAACAAATTTCTCAAGGTCTTATTTTATAATAAGACTTTGTATTTTCTGCATCCAACTTTTGATGTGTCAAAATAGGACTGTTGATGCTTGCAAGAGTAAGATTTTTTATACAGTATGCATTATCCCATATCAGTAACATGAAGAGGGTTTTCTATTCTGCAGTCATGTTTTTCTATTGTTTATATAGTTACTTTGTAAATGGTTCATTATGTTCTTCAACATCAAAGAACCCCAAAGAAGGAAATGAGTGTCAAGCGTTTCAGGGCAAAACAACAGTTCAGTGGTAGTCATGTTCGTAAATATGTCGGAAGCTTCTTATCAAACTTTTGTCACCTGGTTTTGGAGTTACATTCTGTGGGATAATTAATGAGTATTTCATTGATGGTTTTTTTCCATTGATTATTTTGTCATTGACTTTTATTTCTTGTAAATTTTTTTTTGTTCATTGAAAGAAGCTTGTGAATGCAGATGTTATGTTTTATAAAAACTTCAAATGTTAATATTTATTGTAATAAAGAGTTACCGTATTTAAAAAAAAACCCTCAAGGATTTGGATTTTAGTCATAAAAGAAAAAAAATGGTAGGATAATTATATCATTTTTGGATATATGTTATCCTTTTTTTTTTTTAAAGAATAAAGTAGTTTATCAAAAGGTCTTTGAATTTTTCTTCAGAACAAAAATGTAAGCAAATATGATTAAAATTTATTTCATATGTTCACCATAATCGCAGTAATCAGGGCTTAATAACCCTTGCATTTAGGTCAAGTTATTTAAAGGACCCTGTCCCAATTGAAATTTACTCTTTTCCCCCCAAAAAAATTTAGGTAAAAATTCCAAAATGACGAAGAGATTGAATTGTTCATTGCTGCATGTTTATATTAAAAAAAAAAAAAAAAAAAAAAAAAAAAAAAACTTGAATTTTGAGACATTAATGATTTATTAACATGATTAAGATGTGCATAGAGAAATAACCTTCACTTTATTCAACAGTAAAAGTTATTATATTAAGACATCAATATCTTTAAATTTTGCCACTTTTTTCAATTTAAAATTCCCAATTGAAAGGGTACAGGATAGCCAATTAATCCCTGTTATTTATAAATAAATTAATGCATAATAGTTCAGTAAGTGTTATGCATATTGACTTGCATCTTTGAAAAAAAACAAAACAAAACAAAACAAAAAAAAACATATATACAATATTTAATAAAATAATTTTATGAATTTCTGTGACTGTGTTGTGGTCTTGTATATTCTTGGAAATGCACAGGTTCTTATATTGAAATTCCCTTATTGTTGGTAAGATTGTATTATAGTTCTTCATTTTTTGATGGTATGGACTCCAATATTCCGAAATATGCTATATTGATCCTTTATACAAGTTTATATGATTAAACTCCCAAGGTGCAGCGATCACACACGGTGCATAAATGCTTGTGTGGTCATTACTCCTATTGAATGCATTTCTAACTAGCCAGAAGCTCAAGTATGGACAAACATTTTGTCAACCAGGATTTATTCAAAATCAATGTTGGCCTCGGCACAATAGGAATAATGTTGACTATATGGGCAAGATCTGTATTGATTAGTTCAAATCAATTGGCCCTCTGTCTGGTCCAATTATTGCCAATATTTCCTGAATCGAGTTATAAATGTAAAAACATATTTCAAGTTATGATGGTAGATTTCTAGCTAACACAGCAGATGACAAAGCTTTCAGTTAATATGTAATGTATAGTAGTTTTAAACACATTATTTAAGTCAATATTCAAGTGGTATTTTGGATTGTAAAATAAGGTGCATCTCAAGTATGGAATAGTAATTTTATTTTAATTAGGGCATGTATCATTAGATAGATTTCAACTTAAAAAAAAGCTATAGTTTTGAGAGACACCTGGTTAAAAGCAGAATACCATTTTTGGGGTACTTTAAACACAATTTTCATGTTATATGAATTCAGCAAATGGAACGTCAGTTTATAGGCTTAATAAGGTTTTTGATGTATCCATTCATTGTATTTTGTAGATAATGCCAGATTATTATGCATTTCAACATAGAAAGGTAGCAAAACGGTCAGCCATCCCAAGCTCCTATCATCACAGAACTATAGTCCAAGAGCCAAATGTGAGTACATTTAACAGAAATAACCAGTGTAGACTCCAAATGTGAGTACATCTAACAGAACTAACCAGTGTAGACTCCAAATGTGAGTACATCTAACAGAAATAACCAGTGTAGACTCCAAATGTGAGTACATCTAACAGAAATAACCAGTAACAGGGTATTATTTTAACTCAGAATAATTATTTCATTCGGAATATAAAGAATTGAAAAAAATAAGCAACTAAGTCTCCTTACATGTACTTGTAGCTCAAAAGAAAAAAAAATGTTGCCTTAATTCTCTGCATTTTGTGTGTAATACAGCATTGAGTAAAGATTTTGTTTATCTCTCTATAAATAATTTATTTTATTTCTTGTTAATTATTTTTTCTTTTTATTTGTTTGTTTGTTTATTGTTGTGTTTGTTTATTTATTTGTGTAAACAAGGTTGCTTGTAATGGCAGGGGTTAGATGAAAATTTAATGGGGTTAGTTGGCGCATGCCTAAAGGGGTTAGTCGCCGCTGAGCGGCGACTAACCCCTTTGAGCATGCGCCAGTTGAGATAGGTAAAAATCCTGTAGTTAATCCATATACAATGTGTATTCAGTCTGTATTGTTAATCAGTCCACGCGATGTACAAATCAAACGGTAATTAACACGGTAGAAGTATTTGTACTGTCACGCTGCGCTTAAAAATCCCAAGTATTCCGTTCTACAAGTATCCATATATGAAGACTATACATGCCGATATCCTAAAGAAATAACTCGCAGAGAACGAAAATACATACCAATGCATATTCATTACGATAACCGAAAACACTAACAAGTATTTTTACAGTCGTAACAACGATTAAATCCAACAAATAACCAGAGAAATGCGACGATGTATACACTGCCAATACACTGCAGACAACTCCTGTTCGACGTCACTTTTCGAAGTGCGACGTCACACGTTCACTTGTTTTCCCGAACTTTCTGTGTCAAAATGGCGAATAGGCATTGTATGTAATATAAGGTATTCTGTCATCGTAGTACAACACACAAACTTTATTCCTTTAGATTAAAGTTTTCCTTTACTTAGGTAATCAAATATCAGAAGAGGAGACGAAGGTGGGGAGTATTTAGTACAGAAAACAGGTTACAAAAATTTGAAGATCCATGATCCGCCCACTTGTTTCACCTCAGCTAAGAGGTGCATATTTAGTGTGCAAATCTCGAGTTTCAAAGTCGATGTGACGTCACACTCACAACCATCCATCTAAGGGGGAACAGACTGTGCTGAACATTGCTTGTATTATTAGAAAGAAGATAAATACCATTTTGAAATTAATTTAAAGAAAAGAAAAATCGACAATAATTACATTTTAACCTTAAGAGACGAGATCAGTTGAGTTTGAAAGGGGAGGGGGTGGTGGCAGATTCTGAAAAATCTGACCGTTTTTTGCCTCCTCCCAAACATACATGAAGTAAAGTTTTATTTGAGAGGTTAATTTTCTTTTCTTAACTTAAAATTGAATATCTGTCCCTGGACATGTTCGAAATGAATATCCCCCCCCCGCTCCGTCAGAATCAAATGGTCGTCTACTTAGTCGCAAATTATTTTTAAAAATCATCCCTGAAAAAAAGACATGGAATATCTCAATAATCAAAAAAAAAAATATCATATTGGACATTATTTACGTAGTCTTTCCATTTCCAAGCCTTATACCCCACCCCACCCCCCTTTTTAATCATTTTCAATTCAGTGATGGTTTTTATTACACGGAAGCAATAATATTATAAAGCACATATGAAATATTTTGATTTTATTATTTATTTATTAAAATCACCCGCCCTGAAGGAATTATCCAGAAAAAGAGTGTAGTGACTACTGGCTATTGCCGCTAAGAAACAATTACCTATTCTTGCAGAACATTGGAAGGCTCGATTCAGTGTAATAAAAAAAATGTGGCAGGGGCCGTGCCACCCCAACACCCAATAATTTTGCCAGTATGCTTTATACTATAGAAAAATAGCTATTTGATGCTTGTACCTCTATAAAAAAAAAAAAAAAAAGGCGTCTGATGGATTTTTTAAAAAAAAAAAATTGTGCTTGTCAAGGAATTTTGGTAGTCCCCTCCCCCCCCCCCCCCCCCACTGAAATTGCTTCCTACGGGCCTGAAAATTAGGGATAGCCCAGATTAATTTATGGATGTACATACAAGTATATTACTGTATATGTTTAGATTACGGTTAAGCAGAGAGAAAAAAAAAACAGAATCTTTGTTCTAAATACACTTCAAAAAGCATAAGTAATTTATACATTGCAGGTGATTGAAAATTTTACCTACTACGGTTCAAATTTAAGTTAGGCCTAGGTGAAATATTAGAGTTTTCGCAGACAGACAACTAAATGTAATAGAATGAAACACAGACAGAACAAAAAATATACTGTATATGGTATATGCGACCAATTTTTGTAATCCTCTACCAAATTCTGTGTTTCGTGGTCATTTTAAAAAAAATATAATTTTTTTTTTTTTACATTTAATCACCATACATACAAAATTTATATCCTGTAATTGTGTAAAATTTAATGACTCTCATTGAATTACATGTATAAAATATAAAATTTAAAAAAATTCGCTAATACTTATGAAAGACCCCCCCCCCCCCCATGTTCAATGTGTTGTATCTGTAAATCCAATGCTACGCTTGATTTTTTTTTTTTTTGGTTTAAATTGGAGCAATTATAACATTTCTTGCAAACATTAGATGTCTTCAAGCCAATAATATATTACTTCATTATCAAATCCAGTAGAAGATTTGGGTTGATGTGCATTTAGCTTATAGAATAATTTTATAATTGAACGATTTATGAGATGTTCAACACTTTTTTTCTTAAAACTTGGTGGCAGGTGGGCAATATTAATATATAGGCATATACCGGTACATGGGCTACAGTTAATTTTCAGCTTTAACCATACATTTCTTTTTCAGGCACGATAGATAATACAAGAAGGTATATCTTTAAACTCAAATTGTTCGGATCATGCATGTTCTTTTCCGTTTTTAGCATGCTACGGACAACGACAACGTGATCCAAAGTTCTATCATTTTATTACTAACCATTGAAATTGAAAATTTTTAACATAAAGATTTTATTTTTATTTCATCAACTGAAAATTTTCAGTAGTTCTTATGTATTGTTTGAATGGGAAGTTTAATGAACCACAAATTATGTTGAGTATTTATTATTTAGTACTAACGATCTTCAAGATTTCATGACATTTACGGGTTATCCTACTTAAGAAATATTAACGTGCAGAAAAAAATATAATAGTGTATGCTACACACATGGTGTTTTTCTCGGTTAAGCACAAAACTTTGAACAGTTTAAAGAAGAAGCCACCTTTTCTCGACTTGCGGGGATGGGGTGCGGGTGCCACTTTACCCTTTGGCCTTGGGATCTTCTGTATCGGCTTCTATAGATCGACATGTAGATGTTTACTTCTAGTACACATATCTCTTATTAATTTTTAACTTTATAATTGCAACTATTTAATTTCAAGAATTCTTAAAGAAGCTCTAAACACTGCATACTAAAGAGTTCTACTTGTTGAGTAGTTTTCACTCGGCACACCTCGGCCGATTCGTACCTCTGTGATGAAGGTGACGGAATCAGCCGAGGTTTGCCGAATGGGGTAGTTTTATGCAGTTAGAGTGAGCTGCCCTTTGAAGTAAGATTGGTGTTAATTTGTGTGAAAGCCCCCCCCCCCCCCCCCCCCCTTGGGAAAAAATTCCTGGATCTGCCCTTGCAAGTTGCAACAGATTTTTAACATAAAATGGCTATACAAAGGATTAGTAAAAATTTTTTAATATCTGTATTTGATTCTATTTTATACATGTAGATTAATCAAAATTTCGTAAATATGAAATCTCTCTCTGTATGTGCCGTTACTTTTACGTGAAAGTAGATTATTTGATGGTTGTGTTCAAGATCGTAGCAGGTCTCCTTTGCAGAACTGTTGTTTATTTCTATCACTGATAAGTCGATGGTAGAGAGTTGATTGTAAGCTTAACTTAGCAGCCAGGTGATAGATATTACATGTAACTGTATTTAACGGAAAGCTTGTCAAGCCGCTAGATGTTAGATTTTGGATAAAATATAATAAAATAAAAAAAAACCTTTGGTATAATGTACAATGTAATCCGAAGTGGTAATAATTAAGGAGAGCATCATGGATTTAATACACTGATTCTTCATTTGTGACTATAATCTTTTAAAAAATGCAGCACTATTGACCAAAATTTATACTGCATTTTGTAAAGTGCGGACATTTGAATACATTATTTTTGTAGCTTGAAAAATATTTCATCTAAAACTCGATCACCAAAAATTATTTTTATTGATTAACAAGCTAGCCGCGAGTGTTCTTGTTGTTCATGATGAGTTCAAGTCCTGCAGTGAACATCTTTGTGTATATATATCAGGCACGTAGTATCGTTTTTCGAACGTATGTGTGGGGTTTTTTTTTTGGGGGGGGGTATGTTTGGAAAAGGAGGGCAGACCCCTCCCCTCCCTCCCCCCCCCCCAATACTACATGCCTGTTTATAAATAGAGACGAGGAAAATATTTTGTAGCTCTTTATCTTAATTCACTGCAAAAACTATTATGTTTTATCAAAATTAGAATACATGTATACTTGTATTTCAGGAATTTGTTTTTCTCTTAATTGTCATCTGTATGAAAAGATGAAGATAACGAACAGTATTCAATCTGGAAAGTCCAATGAAAAGATACAAATTTGGAGCAGAGCAAACATGGACCTCAAAATTTAGAGGTGGGATCAGGTGCCAGTGGAGGAGTGAGCATCCCCTGCCCCGCCGTGTGCTCCTTGACATGATCGGGAAAAAAACGGAAAAACCCATAGACAGTTCAGTGTATAAATAATGGCCTAACAATTAGTATGAAAAACATCAGTCAGCATTTGACTCAATGATAAGTTCTACGTGCTGACAAGATCATTGTATCGTCCGTAAAA